AACTGCAGCCTGCTCTCTAATCCTACGTTATGTTCAAATACTGCAGTGTGTGTCCAGCGTGCCCAGTCATCACGCCAATCCTGCTTCACCAAAAGAGCCATTGTAAATAGTATGAAAGAGAAGTTCTCCCAAAGGCGGTCTATATTTCGCTTCTAATTTAGCCGATTCACAATAAGCGTTCAACTATTGTATTATTCAGCTGAGAGTTTGTAAGTGATGTCATTAAAAATCCTTTAAGTGGAAACGTGTTGCTAATTACTCTGCCTCTGGCATTTATTAAAGCACAACTACAACACACAGGCCTCACTGCATTCACATTGTGATAAATTTGTGACGTGGAATATACTACTAGAGTACATTTCAGTTCGAGATATACAAGCATAAAGTTCTTTGGAACTTTATTGTACATCTACTAACAATCAAACACATTTAGTTGATAAAAATACTATTTTCACTGTGCACTGCAGACTATTGATAGTTTGAGCCAAGAGCACATTTTGTTTGCCATCTGTGCCACTCAATTCATGTATGATATTATATTTATCTGTTGAGTATTGAGTATTCAGCAATAATACACATTTTAAAGCTGTTTAAAAATGTCCTGGTTGTGACTCATAACAGACCTGATTGTTGGACGTGTTGTGCCACATGCTTCTGAAAATGAATCGTATTGTTTTAAACTAGTTTTCTCACAGGTGTAATGTTTGTGGAACTGGTCTGAACCTGTTTAGCATCTCTGCATCAGTGAATGGTATTTCTTTGTTAATTGTTTAACTGCATGTCAATGCAGTGCACTTGTCTCACAGTGGAATTGGATCTTGATTTGAAGCAGGACTTTTCAATACGTGTTAAACTGTAAATCCAGCCCAGTCATTACGGTTAGCCTGGTCTGGAATGTATTTAGGACTATCCAGACAGCCCAAGAACCACAGCCAAAGGCCACACTGCATCTCACTTAATTTTCCTCCGATTTAATCCTCCTAAAATATTTCAATGACTTCACGTGCAGCTTTATCCCTTTTAACAGCCGAGTGCCAGCCTAACTCTGGCTTATTTTTTCCTATTCCTGAAAAGACATCTCCAGAGCTAGGGACCCATCTGATTTATCCATTTTGGGACCTTCCATGTGTCACAGTGGATCATAATAGGGATGGAAAGTTCCTGTCCGGTGCAGAATTTCCGTGGATAAAAAGCATTTAACCATCACACAAAAGCTGAAAGGGATTAACATCACATTGGGTTCCCTTTTACTTATCTTTCTCATTGCTTATTTTATGTGCTTATGTTGTTGCAATCAGTCTCCTATTGAATATTGATTACATATTTAGTTAATTGCTCTGTAAAATAAATCAGGAGAATGAGGCAGGTGGACTGTCTGCGTTTACAGTGTCTGCAGTGAGACAGAGAGTCACCTTGTCATCACTCACTCTGAGCCAGAACTGCTCAGCCATGCACTTCTCCAAATGGACCTCATGCAGTTTTAACAAATGTTTGCTTAGATGGAGCTGCTTATCACTCCAATACTCTGTCAGTTTGGCCAGACTCCAAGTCCCAGAATGCAACGCTCTCAAATACAGGCAAAGCCGCAGTTGTCTCTTTATCGGCTTTTTCTTCAATCTTTCAGTCGCTGCTCATTTTTTCCTCACTTGCCAATCTTAAAGGTCAGGGAAAGGACCAGAGACTTTTAAACCCTGGCATCCTCAAATACTAAACATCAAGCATTAAGAGTGTTGGTATTTAAGGTATTGCCCACAAAATATATTTTTCACAGCTTTTGACTGTGTTTTCCCTCATCATTTATACACTAAAAATAGTTTCTTGGAGCAATTCATGCATGTTGGAGTGATTTATGTCCTCTTCCACCTTAGATCTATTCTCAACCTTGTGTCCAGCAGGTTGCGGGCGGTGTGACCACGTTGCCACAAACTATTTCAAAACGTAATCCTTGGATTTGTGAAAATATGTCAATTTTCAATGTATTTAACAAAAATCAAATGAATACAGAAATTCTTATCTACTCATTCTGGGATTCAGATTCATTTTATTTGCCATGTGCAGTATAAAAACCACATTGGAAAACAATTGATTCATATAAATACACAAATTCCATTGATTCATACTCACTGCACATTACGGTCCAAGCATAATGCCTTTTTAATGGGGAGAGTATGAACCACCTGCTCATCTGGCCCTGTTGTAATCTGCACAGAATCACTGCAAAGGTAAAGGTGAATAATGAGTTTCATCAACCACAGCTCACCACACATGACATGGCACCCTAAATTTGATACGATGCCTTTGGTAATTTGGCCTCAGGGTTTAACATTTCACACCTTGTCTGATTGATCCCACTTTAATTGCAGCATGGTAATACAGTTTAAATCTCTTCAGCATTCATTTAGTTCATGTAAAACTCGACAAAACTGTAATGTAATGGTCATTGCGTGTCTTGGTGTTTGCTTTCAGAGAGAAAAGTGAGACTAGCGCTGCTCAATGCTTTATAGACAAGACAGATTTAAAACTGTCTGGGATTTTGTCTCTTTTATTGCACCCCACTCAGATGAACTACTGTCAAGCTGTGGCGCCCTCCATCTCTACGTTGTAAGCGCGAAACACAAGCGTGATGATAGGCTACACACTCATGTGTATAGACCTATATTTAATGACAGTGATTGAATATGTCTGGAAAATGCAGTCTTCTTACAGAGGTTACTTTTCCAAAACCAAAAATCGTGATCCTTTTGCATTATTTCAGCCAAGTAGTAATGATGTTGAAATCTGATAAAATGACATAACATTAGATCAAAGTGAGACTACTGCAGGCCCTGCCAAAGGCGCAGAGATGAATGCTTTTGGACTACACGCTTTTGTGGAAAAGTCATATATTATTGTTTGTCTCCTTTGATTCACAACGGTTGCATTTCTCCTGGGACATTTTTCTCTTTTTTTGGCTCAGGGTTTAAGTCATTGTTGCATAAATATGAAATCTTTGCCGTTAAGGTGTTACACTTTACTAATAATGTTTGTTAATAACATTAGAATGTTGATCTAAGCATTAACTTTAATTAATCTATTTGCCTTATTTATAGACATTAGCTTGAAAAGAGTGTATGTTTCAGTTTTAACAACCTGAGCAAAGCGATTTTAAAACAAAGTAGTCAAGCATTATTCTTATTTTACCACTTTTTATACTAAAATATAGGCGATACTGGGATTAATTATCTGGCTCAATTTGATTTGAAGGTCATTCTAAGAGTAGGGTTTAATCCCTCATTTAAATTTTCCCTTAATCTTAGGTTGGCATCCTTAATGAGTGAAGCCGTCATTGCAGCCGCTTCAGATCCTCTGCTCTTCTCACATGCCACTACTGGATTGAGATGGAGAGATGGAGCTTTCCCTTTGTCCCACTCTCTTCCCCCATACACCCCATGTCCTCAGGGTGCAGCATGACCCAAACAGTCACCCATCCGGAAGGCCCACCCCTCACCGCTGGCACCCTTTAGAGGATGCACCTCATTATATGTGACCTCTTTATTGGTAAAAGCACTCTCTGTCAGTGTTACAGTAGACAGCGACATGACTGCAACCCACTGACCCTCATATGTGTACCAACCCCCTGACGACCGATTCCATGTCCACAATTGTGTTTATAGGCACAGAAAGTAACTTATCAACCTTCGGATGAGAGCCTTTTGCTGCATCAATGATTGTAATCGAGCATTCTATCATTTAACAGTTTCATATACAGTTTTGAGTCTTTTCAATTAACAGGTTTGAGGCCTTGAAATTGTAACTTAAGCATTTCTGTAAATGAATATTTTTGAATACATTATGAAAGTAATTTTTACAATACAATATACTAATTTCTATACTTTATACTTATATTAGAGTTATTCATTTTCTATTTGCTTAATTCCTGTGAACATTAATTCATGTCATTTATTGACTATTTTATTTTTATTTTTTCAATTTGATTTCAATCAACCTTTTTAGAGTCCTACAAAGATATTGATGTAATTCATGGACCTTGCAATCATAAATTTGCTTTAAATGGATTTGATGTAGATGATGGTGTAGCTTTTCCAATCTGGTGTTGACCCACTTGTTTGTATGAAGATGGATACATTTATATTTCCATATAGTCACAAAAACGAGCCAATGAATCCAGCTTCAAATCCCTTTAAACCTGTGGGTGCCACATGAATAACTGTATATCATATTGGGGCTATTTCTGTCCTTGTGTGGGCTGAGACTGATGGAGAACGCTCCGATGTCTTTTTGCTTGCTGTGAATTTACTGGAAGAAACATAGTATCATAGAGCTGCATGCTTGTTTCTAAATGAGGTCTTGGGTTTATGAATATTTAATCAAAAGAAAAACTAGAAGATATGGAGCCAGACTCTGATGTAATAGAGACTGTAGACTAGAGTCTTGGTGATGAGTGCTTTAAGAGACATCAGGTCAAGTGGCATAGATGATTTTTATTTTTATTCTTTGGTGACTCCGTTCTAATGCCTTCTTGGAGGTTTTTCTTCATTCCTCAGTTTGAAGAAAATGCATATCGCGAATTCTCGTAAAGCACGTCACTGTATTAGAGGATAATGTTAAAAATGAGGGGGAATATTTTGGAGTGCTAGTATACTCACAATTTGAATGTGCACATAAGGTTTATTTATTGAAATTTCTCCACTGAGACTTATCTTACTTTAGGTGTTTGGGGGAAGATGTATTGTGTTAATTGTACACCAAACTCTAATAATGAAAACTAACCAATTATAGCTGTTACTATTTGAAAAATAAAAACTATAGCAACAAAAACAACATTTGTTGAAAGCTAGGAACAAGTAGGGCGGATGTAATTTATATAGTACATTTTTTTGTGGTTTGAGAGTTATAAATATCCTAGCTTTAGCCTTCCGTTTAAAACCCATACTTTAGCGATTCACACAATTATCATTATCTATCTGACCAGTTTCTTCTTCTTGTCTTTTGTCCTGTAGCTGGGATGAGAGCAGCTCCATCAGCAGCGGGTTGAGTGACGGCTCGGACAACCTGAGCTCAGAGGACTTCAACACAAGCCCCACCCTCAACTCCCTGCCGACCACTCCTATTGGCTCACGCAGAAACTCTACCATCGTGGTATGTCCAGCAAACACACACACACACACACACACACACACACACACGTACATGTACAATTGTGTATTATTGATTCCCCAGTTAATCTGCTATCGATGAGGTGGTCAACAGGAAGGACAACACGGGGGGAAAGATTGATATGAGGAAACTCAAAAAATCACCTGCAGAAGTCAAAATGAGACAGCAGAATGGATAGAGCCACATTTGAGACGAGAGGGTCAGATGGTTGAATCATTTAATCATAAATGTATATTAAAGTACATGGTGGGACTATAATTTGTGGAATTCATTAAAATAGTAATTTCAGACACGTGAGGTCACATCCTAGTCTGCTTGGAATTGAGCAGCGATGGTGAAATTAGTTCGCAAATCACTGCTTCAAAGGACAGCAAAAGAAAGGGTAATTAAAATATACTGATATAACTGCTTCTATTTTTCAGCCATTAAAATTCAAGGGTGGTTTTCTGTGGGCGTCTGGAGTAGACTGTGCCAGAGTCAATATCGAATTCAGCCTGTGGCCTTTTCTTAGATGTTACTATTGTTTCCAGACTGAGCCAGTGCTTATTCCTCCAGTTTCTGATTTAGGTCAGGCATCATTGAGCGATGTGTTGGATGTATTCACTTATTGTATCTAGGCACATCTAGGAAATTCAAAATAACATATGAATGTGTTATATTACACGTTCATGAAGTATTGTTAAAACATGTAGGTTACAGGAGCATATATTTTGAATGTTAGAGAGTAGACAATACAACATTTTCTCAAAAGATTTAATTAAATGGTGTGATATTGGCTTATGCAGTAACTAAAGTCCATGATAGTAATGTTTTCGGTACAATAAAAAGGCCAAATCATTTAAAACTTACATTTGAGAATACTTAGATACTTGAGAAAAAAATTATAACATATTAATTGTTTACCTGAATTGATTAAGCTCAACATGTATGCACATTTATTCACATTTACGAGCATTGGTCATCCTGCTCCCTAAGTATGGACCAATGGCTTCTGTGTTTGATTCGCTGATCAGTTGTGGGTGAATTTAGTGGGTGAAATCCGCAGAGACTTGGGGCTGATTGTTTGAATTGATTTGAACGGTACCTCATGGTTTTGAGAAATCACATTTTACATCGAGTTTGCAGAATTCAAACTTGAGAATGTATTTTTCAGAGAATAGAGTAAAAGGTGATTCCCACCGCTCTTCCAAACCATGTGGTGGCCACTGTTGAGCTTCATTAATTCAGATAAATGATGTCTCTATAAATCAATGTGTTAATGAGAGCTAATTCATTCTCCATGGGGAAGTGTAACATTAAATCCAATGTGGTTTTTCATTCAAATAAAACTAGGCACACACTAATATGACCATCTGTACACACACACATGATCAGACATAAACAAACACACACAGCGGCCATCTGCGGTCCTCCTCTGGGGGCAGCGAGGCGGAAGAACCTGGCCCCTCCCTTCACGCTTAGGTGGTCATGGCAACCAACACCCCCCGCAGCATCATCGCCCTGCCAACACCCCATTACAGTGTTATTATCCCGCGCCCCGCATTGTCTACAGGTGTACAAGCTCTCCCTCTCCCGAATTTATAACGCCAATTCTGCATATTCACTAATTTATTTTATTATTTGTTTTCAAATTTCATAAAATAATCCAGTGCTAAAAGTGTTTGAGTTTCTGTTGATTCTATATAACTAGGGCTGCAGCTAGCTTTTATTTTAGTAACCGAGTACTCACACAACGCTAGCGACAAGACTCACCATTGATTTATTATTAACTTTGATTATATTATTCAAGTTACTTTATTCAAATTAGTCTTTTACATTGTTAACAGCAGATTTATTATATAGTTTTGAAAATGTGTTTTATATCGGAGCCATCCCTTTTGTTTTCCCTGTTTCTCCCTCATGCTGTGCCATTAGGCAGGTGTGTGAGAGGAAATGGCTATGTTTTAGTAACAAGCCTGAATATACTGCTCACCCATGGCCCTGAACTGGCCCACAGGGTGTATTGATTTTAATAAAAGTGGAATTCCCACAAGGGCCGTGAGCTCTATTGTCCTAAGCTTGCACTAACAGGTTGCCAGATAAGTGTTGTGCCTTTATGCTTCTGCGGGGGGTACAGTAATCTCCCTCAATAGTCCTCATATCCGTTATACTGTTGTTCCCCTGTTCAGTATTACATAAGTCACACAGACAGTATTGTGGTTCCTGGGAGTTTGGAAATGTTGTTTCTTTTTAGATTGTTCTGTAAAGAGTTAATGAGTTCACTGACTGTCGGAAAGTGTTTTTGATCTGGTTTTGAGAAGGTATTTTTGAGCACTGGCTCTGGTTTTGTCTTTGAAGTGTTCACACAGAACACAAGAGCGGATCTGGGCTTGGGAGATCAGAGAGAAGTGTGTGCAACTTAACAGGAGACGCAGACGTTAATATCTAGTATATTTATGGTTGTGTAATACATGTATGCTCATTTTGTATGGCCCACTTTTTTCTCTGTAATTTATCAATCCAGGGGGTAAACAGCAGGTGTAAAGTAAGATGGCATTTGTAATTTCCCTGGTTCCGTTCTATAGGATGTTCATTCATTCATTCATTTTCTACCCCTTTATTAGTCAACTTCTGTGTTTGAACCAATTTTAAGGGGTGCTATAGACTTTTGCACTTGAGTAAATGCTTGTTGAATGACGCCCTCAGTGGTGTCAATCTGTTCAAATCTTCCGTACATTGTACCGATGTAATTGGTGCATATCTTGTAAGAATAGAAACTGCATATACCTGAATTTACCTGAACCTTGATTGTACAAAAATAATTGCTAATTCTCTAATCATCCATTGATACCTTGCTTTGTGGATGTATTGTCATATACATTGAATTTGACAAAAACTGATAAATCATGAGTTTGTTTTGTTTGTTTTTGTGCAGAATGTAGTTGATGGATAGTGTAGTGCACATGAAAAGCTCAAATTTGTTTTTTATTGTTGGAACTGCAGCAGCTCTGGCACTAACATAATGCAACAACAGAGGCTAATTAAACCTACTCTAACATTTTGTTTGTAATTATGGTTTCCAATGGCTGCCTGAAAATGAAAGGGCTTGCATGTTATTGTTGTCTCAGTGTGGCTTTGTATGTATTTACAGATGCGGACGGATGCAGAGAAGAGGTCCCTGGTGGAGAGCGGCCTTTCCTGGGACACGGACGACTCAAAACCCGGCCGCAAGAGTCTGGGCAGCAGCATCTATGAGACCAGCAGCCTCAAGTCTGAATCAGCCAATAAATGGAAAAAGGCGAAGGCGCCGGGAGAGGGACTAGAAGGAGGAAGGGGAGAACTGAAGAGGCCTCAAACGCTTGGCCATGGAAACATGCTGAAGAAAGGGCGAAATCCACCTGTGGGCATCACGTCTCCAATCACACACACCGCTCCGAGTGGACTCAAAGTGCCAGGTAACGTAGTATTAACCTATGATTATTGACAAGTTTTGGTCATTTGCAAGACTGAGTTTACTACTGAGTTTGAGTTAACATACTTAAAAGTGTGTGTGACACTCAACTTTGTTACAAGTTATAGCTGTGAAAAGGCAAGTACACATTTTAAACCAACATTTCAAGCAAAGCAATAACAGTTGAATCGTAAGAAGCACTTATCAACCCACTTCACAAAAAGCATGTCACCACCAAGGACAATTATACTGGACACCCTTAATATAGATTATTCGTTATATGTTGATCAAATATCAATAAAATGAAAAAAATGACTAAACATTGAAAAATATACTTTATAAATGTACTTTATGAACAAGTGTATTTGCAGAGCACAGTAAGGAGGATATATATAAATAGTGTGGTATTCAGCACAAATGAAAAAAAAGCGTATTCACATTAACCTGAGTTGCCCCTGTGTCTTCATGGCTCGATTCTCTGGTGTTTACAGACTCACTCATTCATCCACAGCTGCAGCCTCCAGGCTTTACAAAGAGGAGCCATGTATCAAACGCCCATCACCACCCACTGTCCCCACACACCAGCATCAGCAGACGCACACTGCCCACCACTGTTTTATTTTCTATTGGGAAAGGCTTTATTTTAGATGCAATTTATCGCACCCAAATAAAGCCTTATTCCGAAAACAACTGGAGCAAAGGCTGTGTACATTTGTATGGGCAGACTAACTCTCCTCAGTGCCAGGTTTTGAGTAGCATACTTAACTCGGCCTCCCACTCACACATAAAGAGCATAATGGAGAGGATTGTGCAGTTGGTGATAAAACACACCATCTGTGGGCTCTAGATTTGAACACAGTATACAAGTGTAGACAATCAAAACTGCAGGACATCACTTATAGCTCTTTGTTTGCCAGGATATATGGTGCAGGGCTGTGTAAACGGGCCACTAATTGCATGACAGGGACAGTGTTTGCATTGTGAATTGGTGACATTTTTTAGAGATGGATCAAACATTTTATTTGTAATGACAGTCTTATACAATATATACTGTATATTTCATAGTATAAGAGTCATAATAATGGGATGTTTGAGGTAATGCTTTCAAACAGGACAAAATTGAGATCCATTTCAGACATGTTCAAGGGCTCACAACATGGATTTTATAACTGTTGACTGGATTAGGGGGGTTCTGAGCTTTAAAATGATGTATATCTGTCCATATTGATTCATTCAGTGCATTGACACGACTGTTACATGAGAGAAATGGGCTAAGAATAGCAGGTGCACAGGTACTGCTTAGCTACATTTCTGTGTCTGCCTTTTTAAAGTCTTCTGATCTGAATTATCTCAGACAGCACTCTTCTTCAGGAACATGTGCCTGGTATACCTACATACCACACTGTCAAATCATGAGCTGTCATTACTCAAAATTACACCTTCATTTGTGTCAATTCTAAAACATTCAGCAGCGTGGGTCGGTATGGGTCTGTCTCCAGGTTGGTGTTCTTGTGCCCTGCAGCACTGCGGTCACACAATGAATGGTTTTATGACATGACACATAAATTACATTTTCTCATTTCTGAAAAAGATGGTCAATGTTAATGTGCAAGTATGCATAAAGTGTCACATTCCAATGTAATCCAATGACGGCCTGTGTGTGTGGCTTATAACGAATGTCAGCCCATATGTATGTTTTGCGGGTTTATAAATACTTCTAAGTGAGTCCATATGTCCCAAAGCAGCACACCGGTGGGTCCAGTTCAGCTACAGTTTTTATACTTTTAATGCCGTGTATATAAACTCTCTAACAACCCCTTACATGCATATTAAGAGTGAGGCCAGTGCAGATTTACAATTTGTGGGTGGTACGATTTCTCTATTAAACACTTTTTTCCCTTATAACATCTAAACAATCTGATTAATTCACTCAAACAAAGTTGTTCAGATGGATACAATTGTACAATTTTCATTTCCCTTCTCCACCACCGAGTGATAGTTGTGTATTTCCAGGCACGCTTTGTAAGACACCAGTTTTCCATAACCACAAATGGCAACTCCAAACATGCTTTAGGTTAAAGACATACACTGCCTGGAAAACTGGGAAAAACATCTGGATGGAAAAGAAGAGTAATTGTGATAAGGGCATCAAAAGGTTTAGTCTGTCTAACGAGATAGGGATGTGTGTATGTCTCACCACAGCGTCAGAGCCTTGTTTCCCAGATAAGATGTCATGTCTTAATACGCCTTGCTTTGTCCAAGTCATCAGAAGCTCTCCATCTGGTCTTTAAGCCATTTGCAACTGTAGTTTAAGGATCCAACCTGGTGCACATTGTTCATTTATTTTATTCTATCTCTTTTGTGTAGGTGTGGTGAAGCCTGACGGCAGATCTATGGAGAAATCTCGCCTTGCTGTGAAGTCTTCTGGTCTGCAGCGTTCTTCGTCAGACGCAGGGAAAGAGAAGAATGGATCAGTTGCGAGTGAGCCACGAAAACCTCCATCTGGCCTGGTCCGACCTTCAACTGGTGGAAGCTTTGGCTTTAAGAAACCGGCCACTGCGACCACTAATGGAACAAATAACAGCAGTATGCCCACTGGGATGAGCACGACTAGCTCTATACCGAGTGCGACAGTCGGGAAAACCCCCAAAACTTCTGCAATCCCGGTCAAACCTGTTGGCAGTGTAGGAGGAGGAGGACGCAAGACGAGTTTAGATGTGTCTAACAGCGATCACAGCAGTTTTCTATCCCCTAATGCGAGGACATCGCTACAGTACCGCTCCTTGCCACGTCCCGCCAAGACAAGCACTTTGACTTTGACCCGGCCCAGCTCCGCACGGCCTCTCAGTACCACAGTGGACACAAGTGCAGGCCTCGTCAAACCCTCCACGCCTCAAACATCCAGACTCAAAGAACCAGGAACAGGGCTCTGTAAACCATCTAGTCGAGGCATCCCCAGTCCCGTCAATCAGACTGACCGAGAAAAGGAGAAAGAGAAGGAGAGAGCGAAAGCTAAAGCCGTGGTGTCAGACTCGGAGTGCGGGTCACTGAAGAGCAGTTCTGGGTTGACCTCATGTGAAACTGGGTCAAAACTACAGGGACTAAGACCTCCGAACAAGAGCTCAGACATGCCCTCCCCGAGCACACAAAGGTATATCAATTATTCAACCACACACGCGCGTCTCTTTGTCTTTGCTTTGCCTAATCTTTGTTTCCTGTGTTTAGGTTATCTGGGATACGAAGCCTCACAAAACCTTCAATGGTCCATCATGACAAAGAGAATATCAGCCTTGACATTGGCGTTCAAGATTCACTTCCACCAAAAATCCCCCCTTTCTCTAAGATACAGGACTTGGCTAGCTCCTCAAGCTCGTGCCTCTCCCCCAGCCCGGCCCCATTACTAAATCTGAATTCTTCATCGTGTTTCTCGAGCTCCGGGACAGGCTTAGGCTCTCGGCAGGTGTCTTCCCTGGGGGTTGGAGAGAGTGGGGGTAGCACTTCTCCTCTGCTCTACCCACGGCTGACCGGGCTGCACCGAAGTTTGGAGTCTCTGCCTCTTCAGATGAGTCTGGCCCCAGAGCCCCAGAGGGAGAGAGAGGGTTTGGTGCGAGGTTACACCACTTTGGAATCTCGAGACAGGGACAGAAAAGATGACAGAGCCCCTCCTCTGAGCTGGAGCTCTGGAAGCAAAACACCTAAGACTGTTCCTGACAGGTGAGAATAAATTCAGAAGCAGATATGATTCCTTCTGATACTGTCCACTATCTCCACCTACTGGCAAGCTTTGGTGCTCTGACAAAAAATGACAAAATGAATATAATGCAAAATGTTGTGTTGCCATTTCCCCACATATGCCCAACATGTTGGCTTTGTTAATCTATTATTACAACTGGCCTTTTATCAAAGAGTGAAGCCTTAATTTTAGGCTGACAACAGCTATCTGCATTGCTCACTGTGCTTCCTTTGTGTCTTGAAAGTTTAATTAGTGCCTTTACACCGACTTAAATAATCACATTGTTTAATCTCAACAGCCCACAGCGAGACAGAAACACTCTTCCTAAAAAGGGCTTGAGGTAAGGCAACCCATTTTACACACACATTTTTATAAATGTCTCTGCACCAGTGTATGTTATGCTTTTAATACAATTCGGTTTTTAATGTTAAAGGTGCATTCCTCAACTGTCCTGTTTTTCTTGCATTCATTTAAATGTTGTTGTTTTGCTTGGTTATGTATACAGCTTGTCATTAAACTTTCTATTTACATTAGAAAGTCTGTGATTGCACACTGCTAAGTTACAAGTCATGTTTAGTGAATAGGCAAGTCTTCTCATTTAAAAAAAAATATAAAAAAATAAATCCTTGTAAAGGATATAGAGCAGTATTTCAAGAATAGCAATAACACATCAATCGCAAGAAGTAAGGCAAGGCAAGGCAAGTTTATTTATATAGCACAATTCATACACAAGGCAATTCAAAGTGCTGAACAGAACAAGAAAGCATTAAAATCATAAATAATCACAGTACATTAAAAAAAGATAAAAATATAAAATCCCTCAGTTGTATGCACAGCTAAACAGAACTGTTTTCAACCTTGTCTTAAACATTGTCAGAGAGGAGGCCTGTCTCACATCTTCAGGAAGACTGTTCCAGATTTTAGCAGCATGAATCTGAAAAGCAGCCTCCCCATGTTTAGTTCTGACTCTGGGCACTAACAGGAGTCCAGTCCCTGTGCTCCTCAGAGTCCGGGCTGGTTCATATGGGACTAACATGTCACTAATATAGTTTGGTGCGAGGCCATGGAGAGACTTGTAACAAGCAGAGCTGTTTTAAAGTCTATTCTCTGAGCCACAGGAAGCCAGTGCAGGGACCTGAGGACCGGACTAATGTGGTCGTACTTCCTGGTTCTAGTCAGGACTCGAGCTGCTGCATTTTGAATGTACTGCAGCTGTTTTACAGCCTGTTTGGACAGACCTGTGAGCAGGCCATTGCAGTAGTCTAACCTACTGGAGACAAATGCATGGATAAGAATCTCCAAGTCTGCTTTAGACACTATGTTTTTGATCCTGGCAATGTTTTTTAGATGGTAAAAAGCTGCTGATGTTACTGATTTGATGTGGCTATTAAAATTTAAGTCTGAGTCCAGTATTACCCCTAGATTTCTGACCTTGTTTGAAGGTTTTAGGGAGAGAGACTGTAGGTGACAGATGACGCTCTCTCTTTGTTTCTGGGGACCAAAGACAATCATTTCAGTTTTGTCTGCGTTTAGCTGAAGGAAGTTGTTTTGCATCCACTCACTGATCTGTTGGATACAGTGAAGGAGTGAGTCCACTGGTCCATGTTCTCCTGCAGTCAGTGAGACATAGATCTGAGTGTCGTCTGCATAGTTGTGATAGGACACTTTGTTTCTGCGTATTAACTGACCTAACGGCAGCATGTAGAGATTGAACAGAAGAGGTCCCAGGATCGACCCCTGTGGTACTCCACAGGTCAGGGCCATATGATCTGAGACACAGTTTCCAATCTCCACAAAGTACTTCCTGTCTTCAAGGTAAGACCTAAACCAACTTAGGGCGGTGCCAGCGACTCCAACCCAGTCCTCTAATCTCTGTAAGAGGATCTCATGGTCGACGGTGTCAAAGGCAGCACTCAGATCTAACAAGATTAAGATTGAGACTTTGCCTGCGTCAGTGTTCAGCCGGATATCGTTTGTAACCTTGACGAGAGCAGTCTCAGTGCTGTGGTGGGGTCTAAAGCCGGACTGAAACATATCAAATGAGTTGTTGATTATAAGAAATCTAGTAAGCTGTAGGTAGACAACTTTTTCAAGGACTTTCCCCATAAATGGCAGATTTGAGATGGGACGATAGTTGTTAAGTACCGTAGCATCCAGGCTGCTCTTTTTTAGCAGGGGCCTGATGACTGCAGTTTTCAGGGCCTTTGGGAATATTCCAGAATGAAGGGACATGTTTACTATCTGTGTGAGTGAAGGTAACAGACTGCTCAGAACAGACTTCAGAAATCTAGTGGGTAGTACATCCAGGCTGCATGTGGAGGAGCTCAAACTGGAGATTATTTCTTGGACATCTTTATCATCTACAGGTGCAAAGTGAGTTAGCTCAGAGAGCCTTTCTGGCTGTTGGATGGTTATCTGTGGATTGGAGACAATGGCGTTTTTGATGCCTTGAACCTTGTCATTGAAAAAGTGTGCAAACTCATTGCATTTACGTTTGGAAGTTAGCTCTAATGGCATCTGAACAGGGGGGTTTGTTAATCTATTAACTGTTGAAAACAGAACACGCAGATTGTTACTGCAGCCTTCAATCATTTCAGAAAAATACCTTTCTCTCGTACTACGTAGCACCCGGTTAAACTCGCAAAACTTATCTTTGAAGATCTTGTAATCAACCTGGAGGTTGGACTTGCGCCACTTCCGCTCGGTCCTCCGGCACTCTCTCTTTTGTGCCCTGACCGAGTCTGCTTTAGCCCACGGCGCCTTCTGCTTATTTTTCACTATTTTAACCTTCACAGGGGCAACGGTATCCAGAATATTCAAAACACTAGAGGTGACAGAGTTAAACAGTTCATCTACAGTAGAATACGATGCATTCTCAAAGTTTATCATTCCCATAAATAGATCACTCGTATTTTCATTTATGTGAGTGTAGGTATCGGACCACTTCACTCATGAAATGTGGGTCACTGACAGTTGAGAAATGCTTCTTTAACTACTACTATATACACATGTTTGTATATATATATATGTATATTTTATTACATAGACTAAATTCATGTATAATCCCTGTTTCTGGTGCAGTTTTGGCAGTGCTCCAGCACCTGAGGCTGAAGTCAAAGAGAAAGGCGAGAGGAGACATTCTCACACCATCCTCAGCATCACGGACTCACTCACGCTCCCTCTGCTGTCTTCTCCCACATCGTTACCTCGCACTTTAAAGACTAATATGGGTTTGTGTTTTAACCAATTCTACAATATATAATCGGTGCTTGCTGGTTCAAAAAACTAAAGACTTGTATTTCTCTAGTTCGGAGCCCCATTGGTGGTCCTCCGCGGATGACTCGCTCCAACAGCATCCCGACCCCAGACCCCTCGCTGGAGCTGTACACCCCGTCACCTTTGGGCAGCACGCTCTCTCTGGCTGAACGCCCACGCAGCATGGGGATGATCCGGTCTGGCTCCTTTAGAGACAGAGACCATGATGAGGGTATGTGTCATACAGAGTTAAATGATTTGATTGTGTTTACTTTGATTTAACACCAAACTGAGCAACATTCCATTATGCGTGTTAACCTGTGCGCTCTGATTGAGCTGAGAAACATGCTGTGTTTGGCGCAACTAGATCAAAGCGTTTCTACCATGGTTGAAACTAGCATGTATCAACCAGATACTGCTGTAAACATACTGTAAATTTCTCCTCTGTGAGATAAATAAAGCACATCTTATCTTATCAGATCCGTGTAAGACACAAGCGCCAGATGTATTTAAGAGTACAGGGAAAAAAACATACTTATGTTAGAAGAAATGTATTAGGAATTATATAGGCTACTCATTTTGTCTGCGCTTATTATAAGATAAATTAAACTTTATTGTTCTCACAATGGAGTAATGTACGTGTCACATCTGACATAGATACAATCACTCAGGTAGTGCAAAAAGGAAGTGTCTACGAAGGTTAAAAATATAGTCTCTTTTGTGCAAGATATATTTTGTACAAAAAAGACATGCTGCATGTTTTCTATTGCTTTGGATTTATTACAAGCAGCAACGACACAAAGCAGGGTGCATGTATTTGCAGTGTGAAAAGTTGCGGTGGAGCCTGTGTAAAAATCAAATATGCTAAGTAAACAAGCTATTGGGTGATATACTAACCCTAACCCTATACTTATACAGTGTATAATGTATGATGACATTTTTATTTAAAATTATTGTTCAATGTTTTGAGTGCAAAGGCAAAGTTACGAGACGGTTTTGAAAGTGCCAAAATTGCATATCCATATTCTTCTTTTGTCCTTTGTCATACGCTCTTTTTTTATTGTTTCTAAAAAAAATTGTTTGTCCTTTGTGTAGTTCATGGCTCTGTGCTGTCCTTGGCTTCTAATGCCTCTTCCACTTACTCCTCGGTGAGTGCCAGCCCCATGCAGATTCAGGTAGCTACAGTTCATTGTATGGCTTGGTGTGGGTTCTGTGAATGCGTGTTTGCAAGTGAATGAGACGGACTCTCCTAGTTTGCTGTGCCCATTGTAGAGCTTGATATCACCTCCCTACTTCTGTTTTCTTGACCTGTGTCCTCTTTTTAACAACTTCTTATTCCCATTTGCTTTCTAAGGCTGAGGAAAAGATTCAGGGAGAGGTAAGTGTGTTCTTGCCTGCACTTTTCTCCACTTTAGACTTTATCTTCCATTCATCTGTCACTCCATGTTTGTGTTTTGAGTTGATGTGTTTGGATAACCCTTGCAGGTTTCATCATCATCAGTAGTACTCAGTCCAGATTAGCAGTTTATTCTTAAGTTCATTTTTGGTGCAGTTTATGTTCAAATGTATGTTTTCTTTGTTTGAATTAATCCTGGACTTACTTTTTGAGTCCAGTATTAATTCTGCTTTGAATAAAACCAATAGTCTGAGTTTGCACCCAGTTTAGCACCTATTATTTTAATGAATGCTTATAAAGATATGGTCACTTACGTCCAAGTTGTATTAATTTATTTTTCAGCAAATCCGAATGCTAAGGAGGGAACTGGAGTCGTCACAAGAGAAAGTGTCCAACCTGACGACACAGCTAACTGCAAACGTGCGTATAACAGATCTTAGTGTGAATCTCTTGCATATCTGGGACTTGTTCTTGCAGGTTCTATACTGACAGCTTCCCTCTTTGTTAAACTAGCCTGACAGTGACCCATCTCTAGAGTGTTCAAACATTATGGCTGTTTTACCCTGTGGGGGAATTCGAAATACCCTTCCTTCTAGTTTTACAGCCCATTAGCTGTCACTCACACTGATGAACTGCTGCCTTGATATAACATGTGGCCTAAGGCTTCTGCAACTGATATTCAAGCACAACTGACCTTACAATTCAAGCATAAAAAGTCTGAACTTTATTGATTGCTGAAAAATTCCACATCATCTGTGGCCTCAGATAAATGCTATAAGGCCGTCTGTAGTGTGTTGCTGAAGTTCAGTTCAGCAACACAAAAGGAAAGGAGTTCAATCACAGAGCGGAGCGGGTTGGCTGCATCAGCAGGTTTCTGAGGCCGCTCTGCATCAGTCCAATATAAATGTCACCTCTGTCTGAACCCTCAACTCCAGCAGAGCCACACACAGGTGCCTCTCCCAGTCTTTCCGCTCTGTTCAGACACCGCAGGCATGATAACACACAGCTTATAAAAGAGCTTCAATCACTACATGTGTGTCCTCCCTCTGAGGAGATGTCTTTATTATTTGACCTGTGGACCTATACTTAGTTAACATGCAATGTGTAGGGCTTTAGTGGGTGTGTGTGTCTGAAAAGATTGAGAAAGGTGAAATTGTCTACCTGGTTTTGAGTTGGATGGATAACAATTTATGTATTTTATGGTGACAGTAAGTGCATTTTAGTTTGTAATTTATAAACCTTCCAAGTTACTTTCCTTTTACTAAAGGCAACAAAAAAAAATTTTTATAACATTAACGCAATCTTAACTACCTGCATATATTATTTTTAGGGCCAAACCGGTGATATTTTATTTTGGTTATAATATATGTTAAATTCTTCAAACAGGCGAACCTCGTGGCAGCGTTTGAGCAGAGTTTGGCCTTGATGACGTCACGGCTGCAGTCGCTGTCGTTCAGCCACGAGCAGAAGGTAACCAGCCCCACCCTGTTTGTCCACACGCTTAAACTAAAATACACACGACCTGCACATTCCTGTCGCATTCCTGCACTGTGCTCGACCAAGACCTTTCAACGGTCGTTATAGGACCACCCATAACTTTCTTTGGGGCAATTGCATTTAGACCACAAACATGCTGTCTTCCTCATATTAGAATCATATTTTGCATATGTTAAAAGTTTTAGTTAAATTTTTTGTGCTTTGAAAGTTTGGTACCCCAGCTTTATCAATTGTTTTTGATATTGCCTACTTTCTGCTACTGAGGCAGTGTCCAGAGTTTGTTCGACCAATAAAAGAAAGCATGACCGGACAGTGGCATACAAAGCCACACTAGAGAGTAAATGGCTTGCACGTGCTCTCATACAAACCACCACATTCCTGCATTCTTGTCCCTTTGTATTTGTGAGCTTTGAGTGCTGTGATAATTGCCTGGAGCAGGGACGATCATCTATAAGGGTGGATGAGGACCCTGGTTTGTTCATGCCCTTGTGCTCTCAATGAAAGCCCGCCGTCTAGACCCCTGCAGAATACTCTGTTGTTACTGCCAAGGCATTGACCTGAACAGCAATGCCACCAGCGCGGTGGCTTTAATCTCATGAAGATGCTCTGGTCAATCCCATTTACATCCATACAACTAACAATGTATTTGAAGAGGCCTTGTTATTTCGATATCACTGCTCACATAAGCCCTTGACAAACATGCTCATATGGCAGCTTGTACTTGGGCACGAGATGCATTCCATGATCTCCACTACATTCTCTTGTTTTGCTTTTCCAGATTTGCAGAGGTGCATATTGGGTTATGACCATGTGGTCAAAATATCTGACATGAAATCATTGACGGTCATTTATGTCATCACAACAGAAGTTATCTCGGAGGACTTAACAAATCTGTTGATTCGCCAACATAGACAATGGGACAGCGGGTGAATAGCAATGAACAGACTACAGCTGAAGTCATAAGGATGACAGAAAAAGTAGGAAGAGGAGAGGATGGGGCTCAAGTTACCATACTTCTCACAGCAAAGTGACTCCATATGCAGCTTAATTGACGATCTGTGTTTTTAGACTCAAGATTGTATTTCTAAGTCTTACCTGAGCCTTAACTACCTAACCATATGCTAGATTAGAAATCACTGTTTTAAGCTTGGCCTTGAATGTAGAAACTTTGTCTGCTTCCTTGACGTGCATTGGGAACTGATTTAGGAACTTTAGGAACTTCCAAAAGTCTGGTGCAGTTCTCGGCTTGGTCGATATGATACTGACTTGTCTTTGAGGTTGGAGGAAGCCATGCCATTTATGGCTTTGTATGTTCAGAGATCATTCTTCGGCTTTAGAACACGAAACACTGAAGTTACATGGACTTTATGGCATGTAGCACAGAACAGGGAAGATCTGGATCAGCTCCGTGTGTGGTCTTTGTTTGTCTGATTGACCTAAACATAAATGTTGCATTTTAAAAAGTTGCCTGACTGGAACTGCACAACTATATCCCATTGTTTTATCTGTAAGCAGGATTCGGAACTAATCGAGTTGAGGGAGACTATCGAGTCTCTGAAAGTCAAGAACGATGAAGCGCAGGAAGTGATCCAAGTTGCCTTAAACAACCCAGACAACTCAAAAGGTTTGGAAACAGTGTTGATGAGTTGATCATTTTCTTCTCTGTGTACAGTACATAGGATTTTGTTTTGATAAAAGCTTGTATTTTACAGATTTACGCATTAGACGTCAGAATTCATGTGAGAGCATTTCCAGTCTCAACAGTCTGACCAGTATGTCCAGTCTGGGCAGTCTCAAAGACCAAGAGGCAAAAAAGAAGAAGAAAAAGAGCTGGGTAAGTTTGAAACGCTGTACATCTTTAAATGGGAAACTAATAACTCAGCACGACCAGGCTCTGTGTCATTTGTGTCACATTTAGGTTTGTGAGGTGAGTGTCAATGTACCATATTGCCTCTTGTGCGTAACAGTCATACAGATGTTTTGAACTCGTAATTAAGTGATCACCCTTTGTTGTAAAACATCCATAAAACATCTGGACTTTAAAATAAAATAAATCAGTTAACCCTTTAGGTGCCAGAGACAAACTGCTATATTAGCTCCTGAATCCAAGATACTTTCTTTATACAAACTTTCATCCAAATTTCTCTTGAACTTATTTCTGGTATAGATTTTAGAGTTCCATCTTTTTTCTGACTCCTAAAGGGTTAACACTACCAAAATTAACCATTCTTAAAAGTCTGGAAACTAACCAAATCTACATAGAATATTTAATTCTAAAGTTATTATTTATCTCCATAGCTACGGAGCTCCTTCAACATCTTCAGCATAAAGAAAGGAACGAAAACATACTCTGACATTGAAGAAATTGTCACCCCAGACTCGTCAGCTCCAAACTCTCCAAAGATGCTTCATGACAATGTGGACGGGGCTGAAAACGGAGCGTTGACAACGTCAGCGTCCACCAGATCCAGCGCGTAAGTACAAACAGCACAAGATGCAGTATGTCCAAAATGCTGCAGCTCGAGTCCTGACCAGGACCAGGAAATATGACCACATTAGTCCAGTTCTCAGGTCTCTGCACTGGCTTCCTGTGGCTCAGAGAATAGACTTCAAAGCAGCACTGCTTGTGTACAAGTCTCTCCATGGCCTCGCACCAAAGTACTTAAGCGACTTGTTAGTGCCATATGAACCGGCCCGGACTCTGAGGAGCACAGGGGGTAGCCTCTTACTGGTTCCAAGAGTCAGAACTAAGCATGGGGAGGCAGCGTTTGAGATTTATGGAGCTAAAATCTGGAACAATCTTCCTGAGGATGTGAGGCTAGCACCTACTCTGGCAATTTTCAAATCAGGGCTAAAAACTGTTCTTTTTAGCTGTGCATACGGCTGAAGGATTTTATTGATACATACTCTTTTTTTTTTTAATGCATTGTGGTTATTTATTATTTTATTCCCGTGTGTGCTTTTAATATTTTAAGGTTTTTTATTTTTTTCATTACTTGTGATTTTATTCTGTTTTTAATGTATTTATTGTTTGTATATGTAGTTTTTGATGTTTCTGATTTGTCTGATATTATGTGGGTTGTGAGGCGCTTTGAGTGGCCTTGTGTTGGAAAGGCGCCATACAAATAAAGTTGATTGATTGATTGAAGATACTAATGTAAATATCTCGATAGTGCTGATAAAGTGACTGTACCATGTGTTTTTGTTAGCATTAGTGAGGCACCAGAGGAGGGAGAGGAGGAGGAGGAGAGGATGGTGTCTGATCTACGCTCAGAGCTCTGGGTCAAAGAGAGAGAGCTCACAGATATCAGACTGGAGGCCTTAAACTCTGCGCACCAACTCGAGCAACTCCGAGAAGCCATGAACAATATGCAGGTTGGTGTGGGGCCTATTTGTGGGGGGCACTCTCGCTTCTCAGCAAGAAGGTCCTGGCCTTTCTGAGTGGAGTTTGGGTGTGTCTGCGTAGGTTTCCTCTGGGTGCTCCGGTTTCCCCTACCTCTAAAAACATGTACAATAGGTCTGGCATGCGCCTCCTGTACTGGCGACCTCACTCCCATCTCTGTGTGGAGTGAGAGAAAAATGCCCACAGTTGTAAACCGCTTTGTGACTCTGGTCTGTGAAAGGCGGTTTATAAATAAAGATTACTTACCATTTAATTAGATTGAATAAGAAGATTGAGGTGTGATGGCATAACTGTAGCCAACAATTTCTAATGCAGAAATATGATAGAAATGTATGTATTTGGACGCAGAAAGGCTACTCATTCATTTTGTTTGTGATGAAAATCTAATTCTCAAAGTAAACAACATTTACATTAGATTACTTTTGCGAAAGGTGTGCTTATACAGTATATATGACAGATATTTTAGTTACAACTACTGTTCCAAGTATGAGGGGGGAGGCAAAGTTAGAAGACGGTTAAAACTGGTCAGACCGGGATGTTACCTGAATAACATTAATATTGTTTCTCCTATCTTAATAACAGTCAACAGTAGAGAACCTCAAAGCGGAGAATGACCACCTAAAGACCGGAAGCACGCTCAACCTCGCAGGCCCCACTTCCTCCACGTCACAACCTTCAGGTCTGGCATCTCTGCTCGGGACGTCTGCAAGGCAATCAGCAAGTCTCACCAAATCCTTCAGTCTCAGTTTGAACGATTGTAAAGATGCAGGTATGCGTTTCTTCAGTGCTTTTTTTCAATACGCCCTCTTCTCGTTTTTGACAATATCCTGGTTCTTTCAGATGTTTCAAATAACACAGCAACTATCAACAAAGAGTTACACAAAGACGACGTCTGTACTCACGTTCTCGTCCGTATTCGTGACCAACTCGAGGTAAAATAGTTTGTAAAATGTCTTGTTTATAACGCCTCTCAAACGTTTAGTTGTAATTCACCATCTGTGCTTCTACAGGAGGCTAAGCAGCAACTGTTCTTCCTGGGCTCAGTTCCTGTCAATGGAAGAACAGACTGGGCCGGTCTCGACTCTATGATTACTAAAACCTTTACAGTAAGTGATCATCTGTTCTATATGATTTGTTAAATTGACAGGTGGGTGACTTGTGGTCTTTGTCGTTACAGGACTACCTTGCTCAAGTGGACCCCACATCCAGCTTGGGTCTCTCGTCTGATTCGCTGCTCATGTATCAGCTGACCCAGGGAGTGCAGAGGGTGATGGGAGGAGACAGACCCCAGACTTTGCCTTATCGTTGCCTTGGCAGTGGTCAAGCCCAAATACTTATCACTCTGAAAGGTTGGATATTGCTAAAAAAAAAAAAAAACATTTTTTATTTTGCTACAAACATAATCCACCATATAGTTTTGTTTGAAAGTGTTTTATTGCCATATTATGGAGATTACGAATGATAACACAAACACTTTTTTCCACTCATTGTTTGTGGTTGTGTGAAGTCATTTATTGTTTTATATTTTCAAATACAGATGGGCATTGAAACTACTCTTCTGTCCCTGATTAGGAGTTCTCAGCAGCATGTATTGCCTCTTTAATAATATATGACACTTAGGAGCTGCAGATGAGTTGCTCATTCCTGAAACTTGCAGACACGTCATATTTGATATTCTCCAAAGATCTGTTATACATTAAAAATAGAAAACACATTTGTTTGTCGAGGTCTGTTTTCTCAACCATTACCGTTCATAATCTCCAAAATATAGCCAAAACAATTACATTTAAGGCTGGGTGTGTAAAGATTCAAGCACAACTATTTAATTTGTTCAATTATCATTTTTAAACAAAAGGCAAGTCACAAAAATACACAGTTTAAGAAAACAGTTGTCAGTTTCTGATAGATAAAACACAACACGCAAAGTGAGTTCAAGTTTCAGTTCCTGATGTTTCTGTTCCTCAGGTCTTCAAGAGAAGTGTGTGGATGCTCTGGTGTTTGAGACTCTGGTTCCAAAGCCCATGATGCTACATTACATCAGCCTGTTACTGAAGCACAGGCGTCTTGTGCTGTCGGGTCCCAGCGGGACTGGGAAGAGCTACCTGGCCCAGCGCTTGTGCCGATACCTGCAGCAGCACAGCCTGTGTGAGCCCAGTAAAGCTGAGCACGAGCCCTGTCTGCCGGGACGACACTCTGCTGTCACCTTCAACATGCACCAACAATCGCACAAGGTTCAACTCCTGACTAACTTTACTTCTACTGGTTGTTTGTCTAAATTATAGCAAGCTAAATGTACTTTTCTGTTTTGTAGGATTTGCAGCTGTATTTATCAAATTTAGCAAATCAGATTGATAGAGAAAGTGGAGAGTTGCCTTTAGTCATAATCATAGATGACATCACTGACGCCTCTGCCATCACAGAGCTTGTAAACGGTGCACTGACCTGCAAATACCACAAATGGTATAAAACACCTCTTCTGTAGACTATTTCACAATGCTATATTTGTAAATCCTAATTTATATTTATATTAAAACAGCCCTTACATTATTGGGACGACAAATCAACCTGTGAAGATGAACTCCAACCTGGGCCTACACCTCAGCTTCAGGTTTCTACCCAGTAGCGATACACAACCTCACTCCAGACTGTGTTTCTAGTCTATAACCCATATCCTTGTATTTTTTGTTTCCTTAGGATGATTACATTCTCCAACAATGTAGAGCCAGCCAATGGGTTCCTTGTACGGTACTTGCATCGGAAAGCTGTGGAAACATACCAGCAGAGGGAGCTAGACCCTGCGCAACACCAGGCTTTGATGCTTGTGCTGGACTGGGTCTCTCAGCTCTGGTACCATCTGCACACTTTCCTGGAGAAACACAGCACTTCAGACTTCCTAATAGGTGACAGACAGAACACATATACACAAGGCCAAGCTGGAGAACCCAACTTATTTTTGTTTCGTAAATACATGTTGTTTTGTCCCAACAGAGCTTTATTTACATAACATTTTGTGAACAACATGTTGTTTTTATCTCATTAGAAAACACTATCTTTTACATACTGAAAGCTGATAGGCTGAGTGAGTGCTGGTGCTCTCTTTTTCCCCTGAAAAAGCTTATTTTAAGATGTGACGGAGGCCAAAAAACATGTATGAGCTTTTTTTTTTTTTTTTTTTAACCTTTATTTAACCAGGAAAGTCCCATTGAGATTAAAAACCTCTTTTTCAGCTTCATTGAGATCTAGGAACTAGTTACAACAAGTTACTATCGAAGTTGGGTACTCCAGCTTTAATACCCTGTGTTTCTTAATCCATGGGCGTTGGTTGTAATTTTGCAAATATCTTCCAGGTCCTTGCTTTTTCCTATCGTGCCCAGTTTCGGTGTCTGAGTTTAGACAATGGTTCATTGATCTATGGAATCACTCAATCATCCCTTACCTACAAGAGGGAGCAAAAGATGGCATCAAGGCAAGCTGTGAAACAAGAAATAAGCACTATATATATCAGTGTAATGTCCAGTGAAGTAACGATATGGGTGTTTGTTAGGTTCACGGACAGAAAGCAGTTTGGGAAGACCCCGTGGAGTGGGTGAGGGGCACGTTACCCTGGCCTAACGCTCAGCAAGATCAGTCCAAGCTCTTCCACCTACCTCCACCCAGCATCAGCCTGTCCAGTGAAGACAAGAAGCCTCTCAAAGACGCTCCTCCCCCAAGTTCTCTGGAGGCAGACCCATTAGTGAGTCATCCTACTGTTCATATTAATGTATACTGGATTATTATTAAGCTACACTGAGATATATTTGAAGAGCTCCTTTTTTTACAATGTGTTAAACAGCAGCTTTTTTGGTTACATTCAAGTTTCATATCATGACATGGCATGGAAATTCTTTATTGTATGTTAATTTGTTGTGTGTTGTCTTTGTTGACCAGATGGCCATGCTTCTAAAGCTCCAAGAATCTGCCAACTATATAGAGTCTCCAGAGCGGGAAGGCAGTTTGGATCCAACGCTTCAAACCACTCTTTGAGAATTGCTCACTGGTAGCACACAGTCGTGAAAGACTGGGATGGTTGGAGCTGCTATCTTTAAAAAGACTTTAAATCTGCTCTTGATGGAAACTGTGATTTTATAGACAAGATAAAACTTGTCTTAATTGAGTCTGCTAGTGCATGGTAACCAGAGAAAGTATTATGCAAAATCTTTCCTAGAATCTTCCCAAATGTATTTAATTACAGCCAGGATTATTTCAATACGTTTTGGTGCTTTCTGAATTAACGGCTTGATTTAACTTTTAAAAAAGTCTCCCCAAATACCGCCACTCCAGCTGAAATAGCTAAAATGCACTTTACTTTTTACTGGGACCTGCAGCTGGTTAGTGACAATAGAAAACATTGGAATAGTTAAATGGTGGCTGACTCTCCTCTAGAGGGCAGCACTCAACAACAGCAAAAAATTAGATAAGGCCAATACAATTCTAATGTGTGAATTTTATTGGCATCATTATCTGCGGGTTTCTGAGCTGGACACGTGGAGGCATTTTGACGGAAGGCACCAATTATGTCTTAAAGCTGAATGTTAATAATGTTCTGTCAAAACAGCCTTTTCCGTTTTTGCTTGCACATTTAGATAACCGTTTAACAGTTTCATATACACAATTTAAACATGCTTTTATAGAATTTTATACTGAGTCTCAACTGTCCCTGTGTCACTTTCAATGGTGCTGTCACCATCTTCATGACTTTATCAAGCCGCTAATCAAGTGGGTTCCTTCCTCTTCCCCTTTCAGCACATTGTTTTGCACATGGCAGTACAATGAGTTTCTGTTTGTCAATGTTTAGCATTTATGACACCGAGTGTGTTGGGAAGGGGACATATTGAATGCTTATGACTGTCATATTGGTCCTTTGTGACAGTACCTCACCACAATATATTTAGAATAACATTTCCAAAAGCAGAGATGTGATGCCTCAGTCAGTTTGTGCCTGAACAACGTAATGCTTTAGTGAACTTGTTGACCACTCTGAGGCCTCGCTGGAGAGTGATATATGATGTGTTACCACTTGCCCCCGTTATTGTCACCTTATTTGAAAAACAGATTAGTTTCTTATTGACTGCAGTGATAGACATTTTGTTAACAAAGGGAGTAGAGAGTGCCTCAAAAAACTGTGAGTGAGAAAGAGTTCTAGAGGGTTTGCTTGAGCACTGAAAGAGGAGTGTGTGTCATGCTGGTGCATGTGTTCCTAAGATATTCCTAAATTATCCTTTCATTGGACCTATAACTAGTTAATTTATCACACATGGGGTGGGGATTTTTTAAATACCCAAATAATGTTTATTTGTGTTTTAATGATTATTCTAATCATTAAAAGTAAAAGTTTCTCTTATGCAAATATTTGTAAATGTTCTTTTTCTCTTTTGTACATTCATTACTCTTGTATATCATTGTAAATAGTTGGTGCATCTGCGACAACAATCATTCAAATGTGTTGAGAGCTAAATTATGGCCTGGCCCCTGTATATACATCGGTTGTAAAGTCTTCCTTTTATGTGAAGGGTGAAATAGAAGCACTTGTTTTATGGGGTCTGGTATGAGGCATGTCTCTATACCCTCATCAAACTCATATGTCTAACATGAAGCATTGGTCTCAATAAAGTCATGCCAGTCTTCACTTCAATCACTTGTCTGATTATTACTTTGGGTCCACTGGGGGGCGCTGTTATATCCTAATGTAGCTCATCACTATGAGTGTTGCACATGATCTGGACCATGATCCCTGTCTGACCATGATGCAGATGATGCTGTAGTGGGCGTGGTCTGTACGTCTGTGTATATATACATATGACACGGACCATGAGAGGCGCAATTCACTCACCGTTTCACCCTGAGGAGTAGTTTACCACATCAGAACAATGTCAGCACCCGAGGCGGCTCCCGCAGCAGAGGAACCCCCCGCAGAAGCTGGGCCCACAGAGTCCGCTCCCGAGGGGGCGCCTGCAGCAGAGGAACCTCCTGCAGCAGAGGAACCCCCCGCAGAAGCTGGGCCCACAGAGTCCGCTCCCGAGGGGGCGCCTGCAGCAGAGGCTCCTCCAGGTACAGGGCAGAGTGGGGAACTCCCAGAGGAGGCGAATTTATGACTGCAAACAGTGCAGACTGCAGCGATGCTGGGAGGTCGGTGGACCAGTGCAAACGGGTCCAAACTATTTGGACTATTACTGATTTTATTTATGTTTTTATTTGTATCTATTTGTCACAGACTTGATACAACATACACATAGATACATTATCTAGACTCGTACACAATGTGGAGACATTTTGCTGTAGACTTTTTTTGTGCCAAAGGTTTTCACAATTTTTTTTCTTTTTCTGCTCTTTGGCAGTTCATTGCTTTCAGATTCCTGTTCCATGTTAAATGTTGACGATTTTTCCCTTATTTTTTACAAGGCATATTACTTGCTTTCGTTTTCATCATATGCATCAGACCATGCAGGTGTCGTGCCACCTCCAAAGGTTTCACTGTTTCCTTTAACCGGGAGGAGAAACATGGCATTTTTGAGAGTCAGTCTTTATAGTTACAAACCTCCATATACTTCAAGATGACAAACATTTAAAAGAAAAAAATGTGTTGGGACAAAGACAAATGACAATATTCCTACTGTAGTGTGAGAGGTATACCTTTAAAACTGCGTTTTAAAGATCAGGTATTATTAGTTTAACCTGTGTACCTGTAACGTCCTGATTTGGCTTTCATGCGTTTTACATAGAATTGTGTCAGTGTAAAGGAATAACTGTCATCAGCTTTTCAAACTATAATGGTTTTATTTCCAAATGAATTGCCGCTTCACCTCTAACTAGTGCTAATAACACTGACCCATTGATAATGTCTCATCCTGTAGCTGTGCTTTCACTAGTGTGAACTTAAACTCTAACTTGAGCTGAAGCTTCAGTGGCAGCTGCTGAGACAGATGTGACTGAGGGTAATGCACACTCTGCATGAGGCTTCTGCTCAGCTCGTACATGTGGCTCTTCTTTTCATGTTCATCCATCCAGCCCAAGAACAAATGTACACCCCCAGACAGAAATGTAGGTTTTTTTGGCTATATTTCAGATATTATGAATAATGCAATTGTTAGTGGTTGCATAAAGTCATTTATTGTCAAATTATCTTGTTTTCTATTTAAAAATTATAAAAACAACAGGATCCCCCATTTTTCATCTATGCAGCTGGGAGTTTTTTGTTGTAGTTGTAGATTGGGTTCTTTATCCTCGCTGATGGTAAAGTCGCCCATTCTTCTTCAATCCAATCCACTTTTGTATAGCACATTCATAAAACAACTTTGGCCAAGTGCTGCACAGAGATAAAAGTAACACATCTAAATATACAGGTTTGCGTGCCCTATATGTTTAAAATAAATAGAATAAGTAAAACATTATGTACAAAGTAAAAACAATAAAAAATGTAATAAAAAAACAATTTAAAAATAAAAATAAAAACAATCAAATAGTAATTAAAACCAATAAAACACAGCTCACGCAGTGTTATAAGAGTGTAAAAGTGAGCCTTAAGACGAGACTTAAGTCATGAACAGCACATTTGAGACTCAATACTCAAAATATGGCCAGAATAACGACATGTCTGGCTGGGCAAAAAATCCAAAAGTGTCATCTGTCTTTCATTTTTATTATAAGTGTTTTGTCTTGTGTCAGTTATATCTGTTGGTAAAGCAGTTCTTGCCGCTGCTGCCGTGCTTTCTGCTTCAGCCTCAAACATTTCCTGCAATCTTGGCATTCTAATTCAGCTTAACCCAATAATATGTGTAACACCAGCTGATGCGCCCGCTGCTGAGGCTGCAGGCGACGCTCCCGCTGATGCTGCAGCAGAGACCGGAGCCACAGAAGAAGGAGCTGCTGCCACTGAGGGTAAACAAGAGCCTGCAGAAAGACAACACAACATTCTTATGTGTGACAGCAACACTCGTCATGGCAACTTTGTAGATGATCCAGAGCTCTACATTTATGACCTAACACATGCTATTGCTTGAACTAAAATGACTGTTTTGCTGCTTTCTAATGCTAGCTGAAGCTCCTGCTGAACCTGCTGTTGTTGAGGAGCCCCCTAAGCCTCCCACGCCTCCGCCTCCTCCAGGTAACATCACTGGGAACTTGAGTCCTGACTTCCTTGTCTTTATAGAAAACAAAAATGGTTGCATTTTTGGTTCAGAAAAAATATCAGTATATAGTACTTGCTGGACTATTGAGTGCACTTGTAATGTTTTTAAAATAGATATAGGCCATCCTTAACGCTACAACTCCCAGAATTCTGAAACTACTAGAACTCCCAGAGCAGTCCTTTTGACCCATTCAAATTAACGGAAATCTGAAAAAAAAATATTAATTTATTTTTTAAGTAATTCATAAGGGTTGTTTTTTTAATACATGCTAAAACGAATTAATATAAATTAAATACAGCAAAACAAACAAGTAAAGAATGTGTTGCTATGACAACTAGTACTTGCCCATATCACAAATGATCAAGTCCTGTGTATGTCCCTGCAATTCCCCGTGTCAGCTCTCTGCTGTTCACATAAACACAAGCAGGAATGTGAGACATCTGCAGGTGATAGAGCTGTGGAGCCGACCCTGCACTACAGGGGGCACTCTAAGAAAATAAAAATACACACATTGGCCGCATTGCCATAGAGGTCGCAGGGTTCAAAGAAACAGTAGCGGCTTATAGTCCGGCAAGTACTGCCGTTTTTTCTCAGGGTGATAAAAAATACATGAAGGTACTCAATGCACAATTGTCCTGTGGTACTTCTTTGTACTGTCATTTATATATATTCAAGATGTCTCAGCTTCTATCTGAAAGACTGAGCTTGACTTTTGGGTAGAAGTCAAAATGTCTTGTGAAAAACATGCTCATAGAACTATAAGTATACAAGGAAAATACATATTTAAGTTAGTCCATTAGAAATATTGGCCTAGTAAAAACCGTTGTTTGCATGTTTGGTTATAGAGTTTTACTTCAACTAACTAGCTGTTGTGTGACTGCTCCAGTGCCCACCAGTGCCCCCCTGGACCTTTTCGTGGAGGACGTGAACAACAGCAGCTTGACCATCGACTGGTCGGCACCAGAGACCATCGGGGACTCTGGTCTGGACGGATACACTGTTGAATACTGCAAAGATGGGAGTAAGTCTGGGTTCTGAAGTTGGTTTGGTGTGTGTGCTGCACCTGTCTCACACTCTTACAGCCCGTATACGGCACGCAGCGTTTCAACCACTGTCACTGAATCTGTTCCCGCTGCTTTTAGACAAGCTTCTTCCCCAGATCAGTTTCAGAAGAGAAGCCAAAGTGTACTTCTAGTGGCCTGTGTGTTTGTAAACCTGTGTTGGCAGGTGATAAACCACTTAACGTGTGCCATTAAAATGCATCAACAGTCTATTAGCACTAATCATCATAAATATATTGATACAGGGGAGACGTCCACAAATGTTCTATGGACTGAAACTGGTTCAAAATGTTTGTATTTTTTATCGTATTGTTTTTCAGTGGTCAGATCCCTTGACACAAATTTTGCCCCAAAGTTAAACAGAATTGGTCTATTTAAAGTGAACCAGACCAACTGGTATTCACCTTAGTTCACATGTTCATTAGTCCACTAGTCTTTTGGCTCACTGAATATATTACTTTATCCAATGCCTAACATGACAGTGAGATAAAGTAATCATATATACTATGTTTATTCTGCATGTAATAAATGAAACAAGGTTCATGTTTGATGTGGAACTTGGCTCTTGTTCAAATCCTCCTCTAACACCGGCCCCTTGACTCCCACAGCGACTGACTGGGTGGTGGCTAACGCTGAGCTGACCTCTGCCACACGCTACTGTATTAAAGAGCTGACCACCGGTGACCTGCTGCATGTGCGCGTGGTGGCTGTGAACCCGGGCGGCCGCAGTGACCCGGCCACCCTCGCCGCTCCTGTGCCTATCCGAGAAGTTGGTAGTGAGTAACTACTCTCCCTTTAACAACTATAGCCCTAGTAACAAATACAACATAATAGAGATAAAAGATAATATCTAATTAGGTGTTTACTTGTGGCTGGGTGCGATTCAATTTGTTCACCTCTTTCCACTCTATCAGGGTCACTGATGGTGGTGGCAACCAACCTACAACCTCTCCTTCCAATGCTCCGGTTACATGGGGGGGCTTAACTGGCCGGTCTTCAGGAAGACTGGGCAGACGTTTGCACATAAATTTCAAAGGTGTTGACAAGGCCTTTCATTAGTAATACATCACCCTGTCAACTTGGTCTGTCCTGTGGAAGCCACCGCTAAACTAAAGATTACGATTCGCTTGTAATCTAGTAACTTACTTTTAAAAATACACGTTATATTTGAAAACAATATTAATACAAAGGATTTAGATTTTTGGGCAGTTTGAGGTTGAGAATTTCAGTCCTGTTCCCTGATCCACTGTATCTAATCAGAGATTCCATTACTGACGTCTTTGTATCGTCACATCTGTGTCATGTTTGTTGACCTAAAGAATCCAATGGTCTATTTTGAAAGACATACTTCCTGTTTGGGATTGCTAACCTCAGTGACCAAATAGGAGACAGTAACAGATAAAACCTGTAATCAAAGCGGCTGGTCGGCTAAGGAGAGCTGAAACTGAAGCCTAATTGATGGATTTTGGGTGGCATGTCAGTCAGCCCCCTGTGTCCTCACCACACACCACACATAGTGCACTGAAAGCCCTGAACAAAGATGCCTTTGCACACAACACTGATTGTAGATTGTTTACAGGGGCTTTTGTCCAACTGCCTGGATATTGCTGGGAGGTGTGACAATTAGATCAGATTGAAGAAGTATTGCAAAGTTGGGACGCTGTGCTGGACTAAAATTGTAGAGGACTGATCATATCTATGAATGAGCAGTATTGCAGTAGCTTCAAACATTCTATGAAAAGTGCTTAGATGTCTCAAGTATGTGAATGATCTACACAGATGGACAGGCAGGCCTCACTGGAACATGGAGTTTTATATATCCCATAAGCCCTCTGAGCTTTGAGACATTTGCTGCTTATGCAGATGCATGTCAGGGATGCTGTTCCTGGGGTTAACACCAAGAGTGGGCTAAACCACTCAGCAAAGTGACTAAAACTTTCACAAACAATCTTCAAAGTCTATATTTCCAACTGCAGCCTAACACAAATATAATGCTTGTTTTGTGCCCCCTGTGAGTGATGACATACTCCTGCAGCTTCTACACTCATGACATGAGCTAACACGTGTTGGAGTTCACTCAAGACGTTCACGTCATCTGCACTATTTTAGGAGCTGTCTCTCTTTCATCTTCCATCTGTTTTTGCCTGGATACTGTGTCCCATCTGCCTGATAAAGTCATGTTCTGTTCACCTGATGGTTTGAGTGTTTGTGAAAGTAACAATCATTTGAAACAGTCTCTAACAATTAAAGTTACATTCATTCTCATTGTTGTGGGTCACTACATTGGCGGCTCATGTCTCTTTACGTAGTGTGCTGTTGACAGATGGTTTGCACGCATCAGGCTTCTCGTGCCAGGTAAAGGTATCTGAGCTGTCAAAATGTTGATGTCTGGATATGTCACTTAAAAAAAATGTGCTGCAACACATAGCTCATGATCATGTGATGTGCTATCTGTGGGAGTATAGGTCACTGGGTAATAGATACATATACAGTATACATAGTATACCTTAAATGATTTTGTTTTACAGCTCGACCCAAAATTCGCATGCCTCGCAATCTCAGATCTCGCTGTATCAGACAGGTTGGAACACAGCTCAACCTGGTCATCCCTTTCCTTGTAAGCAACATCACAAATGTAGCTTTACATAAATACACAGGATGGAATTATTTACAAATGAACGTTCCTCTGCTTTTCAGGGCAAGCCAAACCCTGTCGTCTCATGGCTCAAAGATGGACAGCCTCTGGACAGTAAAAGAGTGAATATTAGAAACAGTGTCAAAGACAGTATCCTGTTTATCCGCACTGCTCAAAGGGAGGACTCGGGAGTGTTTGAGATGACCGTTAAAGTGGACAGCTTTGAAGACAAGGCCACGATCGAATTGCAGATTGTAGGTGAGTTTAACTTCATAAAAGTGCTAATATGCTTAAAGGCATTTGGTATTTGAAGCAGCCACATGTGCACTATAGGGAACACTATAGGGAACACTATAGGGAACACTAAAGGTAACACTAGGGAACACTAAAGGTAACACTATAGGGAACACTTCAGTGTGTTGCTTATATATAGGGAACACTATAGGGTACACTAAAGGGAACACTGATGACGCCATGATAAGAGTGATGTCATGTGCTGTTTTCAGAGCTGCCTGGACCTCCTGCCAGTGTCAAGTTGGTGGATACCTGGGGCTTTAACGCTGCTCTGGAATGGACTGTTCCCAAGGACAACGGCAACACTGACATCACTGGATACACTTTGCAGAAAGCCGACCAGAAGACAGGGGTGAGAACACCTTCAGAAACACCTGTGTCTATCTGTGAAAATATCAGTTTAGACAGAATTGCATGCATTTGTTTTTTGAAAATGCCCCCAACATTTAGTCCGAGTGGCTCAACCACAGACGGTTTACAATTTACTGTCTGCTGTATTTCAATTTGCGCAATATGATGTTTCATGGAAATGGAGGTGCATTATAAATGAAAGGTATTATCATTGAAATTATTATTATTGCATGTTCATGCTTGAGTCCCAGAATTCACAATCCAATTGCCAATTTGTATTTTTTTTTTCTTAACAATATTCCAAAACAATAATTAGCACCACACATAATAATAATACACACAGTTTGTTTTGTTTTGAGTTAAACCCCCCGAGGTGGACTGTATCGGTATCAGTACATAGTAGCTGAATGTAATTGTAATGACTTTATTAGACCACTAGTTATTCATGTTACATACACAAGCAATGAAAAATCTGAAATAAAATAGTAATTGTAATCCTAAAGTTACGTGGCACATATTGGTGACTTATGTTATTTTCTGTGACACTACAGTAAATAAACCTTTCTTCTGTCTGTGTCCAGGAGTGGTTCACGGTGCAGGAGCATTACCACAGACTCACAGCCACAGTGTCAGACCTCATCATGGGAAACTCCTACATATTTAGAGTCTTCTCTGAAAACCGAGTGGGCAAGAGTGAGAGCTGCACGGTCACAAAGGAAGTTGCCCATATTCAAAAGACAGGTAAACTGCTGCACACCTCAGCGATTTTATGCAATTAACGAAAACGTGATTCTAGTTGACCTCATGCAGTTCTGAGACGCATTTAAGCTGTGATCTCACATTTAAGACTGCCCAGTCTTGTTTCATGCCTGAGCCTCTTTGGAATGTTCCGCAGTATGACATTTTACTTTTCTTTGTGGAGACAAGCTTACAGAGGACCAGCCAGACTAAGTTACATGTAACACTTGTAATAAAGTTCAAAAGTAAAATTATAATAATGGTTCGTCCCTCTGGGAGGAAAGGGTTGTGCTTGACAAAGAGAGGACACAAGTTTGCATGCCACCCGGTTTAGTTTAGTTGAAGGGGAAATTTTGTATGTACAATATATACAATATTTACAATAGTGCACTTCATTGATCAGTTTGAACACCAAGCTCTGGCTGTCATCGTCTCTCCATAGTCCATAGTCTGTTACAGAATCCAGGAAACCAGAATCCAGGGAACCATAATCCGAGGAACAATAATCCAAGGAACAATAAATCCAGGTCCGTCCCGCACGCTGGAGGTGGTGTGTGGCAGCAAAGGCCTCCTACCGCACCATTTGAAGAGAGAGCTCAGGGTCTTGAGAACCAATCACTTTAGAGGTAGACCTCTCACAGACACAGGGCTGGACTCGGGGTCTTCAGCAAGCCTGGCCTGCATAATATACAACATGCATGTCTAAATACTTAATCACTTTGTGTACACAATAATCACCAATTAAAATGCAAATAATGATCATACCAGTGTGGCATAAATGTACAAATATACCGTGAATACAATGGTCTTATCAAAATGCATTAAGAGGCGTATAAATAAACAGTGCATAAAAGGCACAGTATTTCATAACGAGCTCGACACTACAAGACAGTCAACATGGCCGCGGGAGCTAAAATCAGCTAATCACACTGGCATGGACATTATCTCATAACATAACTTATTTTATATACAAATAGGCGCGATGCCAAAATGTGCCAATATGCAATACAATGCATTGAAATTCATTTGTGCAGTGAGTACAATCACAACAACAGGTATCAGTTAACATGAGAATCATGGCGACACTTACCGATCCCACTAAGTCTCTCAGAAATATGGTCACGATATGTGTCGCGGTAGACCGACCTACGGGTTGAGGGACACAACGCACCATTTATTAAAACGCGATCTATTCTAGACGTTGGATTTAGTCATATTCAGGCAAATCTTACCTACTGCCGCACCCAAGTCCCGCTTGTCCCACGCACCTAGCTGGCAGCCAGCGGCTACTGTGTATAAGCAGTATGGTGCTGGGGTTGCCGACCGCAAAGGCTCATGGGAAACTGAGTTTTTTAATCTTTTAGTTAAAAATACAAGAAACGGACACATATATATTTATATAGAGGGTTACATCCTCCCCCCTTAAACAATGCACGTCCCGGTGCACGTAAATAACTAATGCGGCAGCAGACTAACCAAGTCTAGGAGTAAGATTTGCTACATTGGCTCGTTGCAACACATCAGTATATGCATCTGAAAAGCTCTGGAGTAGAGTCTGGACAACAGAAATCAAAGGGTTTCCTAAACTAGAATATTGAAGACGGTTTGGTGGTACTCGCTGACGACCTGAGCGGCGTAAACCATCATCCACTAGTTCGGGAGTTGCAACGATGTCGGGGTGAGCTAATAATGAATCAGATTGGTCGTGGACAGCGTCTGTGGTCATAGGGGGCAAGGGCAATTCCTCTGGTTGCTCAAGGGCCTCATTTTCACCATCTGTGGGTGCATGATCCGGACTACTGGACCCACTTCCTCCATCTGACATATCGGTTTCCTCCATCACATCCATCTCACTTCCAGCTATATCAACCACTGGGTCATCTTCCAAAGATGGTGCAGGGGAACTGAGGGTTGGGATTAACTCAACAGGAGTTTCGAGAATGGCTGTGGGATCAATTGGAGCATTTACGTCCACCTCATTGTTAGATGGCGGGGACAAATCCAAGCCTGCTACTGGGTCAGACAATTCAGGGACACAGTCACTCTTAGCTTTTGCACTTGAACTTGAGGGTTCAGCTGGACAGAGGGAGACAAACTGTGGCATGTCTTCATCATCTGAATGGAATGAACCAAGAGGCTCTTGTGCTGTCCGACTGCGGGTTTGAAGCTTCCGGGGTGGAGATGACGGGAAACGACTCTCCATTTCAGTTTCAGCTGGTAGAAACCCACAGGGGAGGAGCAGATCCCTGTGAAGGATACGAATTGGTCCTTCACTAGTTTCAGGCCTCACAGAGTAGACTGGGAGATCTCCAGTACATTTAACGACCACATAAACTCCAGGCTCCCACTTGTCCTCCAATTTATGCTTCCCGCGAACCCGAACATTACGGACCAGAACCCTGTCCCCCACAGCCAGCTTACAAGGAGTAACTCGGCGATCAAAGCGGATCTTGTTTCGCTCTGCAGACTTGGAAGCATTACGAGAAGCTATTTGGTAACATTCTTCCAGCCGTGATTTCAAGTTGCGAACATACTCTGTGTGTGTAGAGGTGGGTTTTTCACGTACAGGCAGGCCAAAAGCCAGATCTACGGGGAGTCTAGGAGTCCTCCCAAACATAAGCTCGTAAGGAGTGAAGCCAGTTACCTCGTTGCGGGTGCAATTGTAGGCGTGCACAAGGGGCTTCACATACTCCCGCCATTTAGACTTCTGCTTATGCTCCAGCGTACCTAGCATGCCAAGTAATGTACGATTAAATCGCTCAACAGGATTCCCACGTGGATGATACGGCGTAGTATGGGTTTTTCTCATTCCTGTGATTGCGCAGAGTTCCCGAATTAGCTTTGACTCAAAGTCGGGACCCTGGTCGGTGTGTAAACGCTCTGGCACTCCAAAATTAACAATAAACTCATTCAACAGAACTTTAGCAACTGTCCGTGCCTTTTGATTCGAAGTGGGGACTGCCATTGCGAACTTCGTGAAGTGATCTGTTAAAACCAAAACATCCTTTGTATTGCTTTGATCAGGCTCAATCGATAAGAAATCCATGCATAGCAGTTCGAGAGGCCGGGATGTTTTGATATTGACCAGAGGAGCAGCTCGTTCTGATGCAGCTTTCCGGCGCACACACCTGCCACAAGTGCGAATCTTCGCCTCCACATCGGCAGCCATTCGGGGCCAGAAGAACCGCTGACGGACTAGGTCTAATGTTCTCTCCACTCCCATATGACCCATGTGGTTATGTAGACTTGTAAGAACAAGAGGGCGAAGATCTGGGGGCAGTACAAGCTGTAGATTTGTATGATTTTCCTCCATCCTCCTTCTGTAGAGGACTCCGTCCTTCAGCTCCAGCTTATTTAGCTCTCTGAGTAACAACGGCAGTTCGGAAAACTCCTTCCTTAATGCAGGCACCACCTTCTCTCCCGTCTCAAGCTGCTGAATTACTTCACGAATGGCAGGGTACTCATGCTGTTTCCTCCTCAGCTCGCTGTGAGAAAGTTCTTTAAGAGAAGGTAAGCCATGCAGATCTTCTGCGGAATAGCTGTCGGGAATGGCATCCACGTGCACCGAGAGACTCTCTGCGAGGGTAACCTGAGAACAGGTGGTGTCAAGAGGGAGTGGTCCCCGCATCAAACAGGTTTCACATATAGCATTCACAATCTCTGAGGACAGTCCCTCCTCATCATCCGACTTAGCAACTCGCTGCTCAAGGAACTGCTGAATGAGCCCCTGTTCTTCCAGCGAGCTGTCACCATCAACATCTTGGGCGTGAGGGCGTCGGGATAACCCATCCGCATCATGGTTATGGCGGCCTGCTCGGTACTGAAGTTTAAAAGAGTAAGCCGAGAGAGCGGCAAGCCAGCGATGGCTGGTGGCATCCAGTCGTGCAGAAGTTAGTACGTAAGTAAGGGGGTTACTATCAGTAACTACTGTAAAGTTAGCCCCATAGAGATAGTCGTGGAATTTTTCAACCACGCTCCACTTCAATGCTAAGAATTCCAGCTTATGAGCAGGATAGCGGGACTCACTATGGGACAATCCCCGGCTTGCATAAGCAATGACACGAAGTCTTCCCTCCTGCTCCTGATACAAAGCGGCTCCCAGACCAGTTGTACTAGCGTCTGTATGGAGTATATAGGGCTGCTTAGGGTTAGCAAACCCAAGGACAGGAGCAGAAGTCAGCTTATCAATCAAAAGTTCAAAGGCTGCTTGACATTCCACAGTCCATCGAACCCCGAACGGCTCTTTGGCTGACAGGTAAGGAACTTGCGGCTTCCTCACTTTAGTGGACTTCCGAACTGGAACATATCCCTTTGTGAGATCGTTAAGCGGTTTAACAACCGTGGCATAGTCTCTGATAAACCGGCGATAATACCCAGCAAACCCCAGGAAAGAACGCAACTCTTTCAAGTTGGTAGGAATCGGCCAGGTCTTTAGGGCATCAATTTTCCCGGGATCGGTCTCCACCCCCTTTTCAGAGACTATATGCCCAAGATATTTCACTGAAGTCTGGAAGAAAAGGCACTTTTCTGGCGACAGTTTGAGGCCATAGTCCCTCAATCGGGCAAGAACCCGCAACAAGCGCGTCTCATGCCCCTCCAGAGTATCAGAAAAGATAATAATGTCATCAAGAAATACAAGGACTTCCTTGAGGTTCAAATCCCCCATACAGCGCTCCATTAACCTTTGGAATGTCCCGGGCGCATTAGTCACGCCCTGCGGCATGCGGTTGAATTCCCAGAACCCCAATGGGGTCACAAACGCCGTCTTCGCCTTGTCTTCTTCATTCATCGCAATCTGATAATATCCAGATTTTAGATCTAACACACTGAACCACTTTGAACCCGTGAGTGCAGAAAAGGACTCTTCGGGATTGGGCAAGGCATAAGCATCTTTCACAGTGTGGAGATTTAATTTGCGATAGTCTATACAAAGCCGGACATCGCCGTTTTTCTTCCGTACCACAACAATGGGTGACGAGAACGGTGACTGGGACTCTCGTATCACACCTGCTTCCAAGAGGTCACGAAGATGGTTTCGGACTGCCTCGATGTCCTGAGGATGTATCGGCCGAGCACGATGCTTGAAGGGAGTGTCATCATGAAGGTTGATATGATGGCGAACCTTATCAGTGCAGCCGAAGTCCAGGTCGTTTTGTGAGAACACTTCAGGCATCTGGCGGAGCTTTCCCACAATGCGATCTTTCCACTCTGTAGGTAGAGGGGAATTCCCAAAGTTAAACTGAGGTGTAGCACTGGCAGAAACCGCAGCGGATATAGCGTGCCGGTCCAGGATACAGGAGGCTTCACAAACGTTAGCAATAACAGCATGCGGTGGGATCAATACATCCTGCTCTGATTCGTTTGTTATTACAATGGGAACTTTGTATGGCGCATGTTGGGGCACGGAAACCAGACCACTTCGAACGCATAATCCCCCAGGCAACGGTGAAGTTGGATGCTCGATAAGCGCCCACGGGGTAGCAGATGAAGTCTTAATATCAAGAGCACCTTCCAAGACAACTGTATGGCCCCTAGAAACGACACAAGGGGTCTTTGAAATCAACCTGACCACTCCATTGGTGCCATTTTGATCGTACTGGTGGCGGAGTGCTAAGAGCTTCAGGACAGCACAGTAACCCTGAGAAGCTGGCTGACTATTGGAACAGTCTGTTTGAAGATACTGAGAATACAAAGGCTCTAAAGTGTTCATTCCTATTAGAACTGATGTTGGGCTTGAATCAGGAACGACTAGAGCTAGTGTGGGAACAGTGAACTCTGCACCCAAAAAGTCTTTAGGGAATGTTACTGCTACCTCCACATAGCCGAGGTAAGGGACAGTTTGTCCTGCTGCTCCCTCCACACGGAGAAGGTCTTCAAGTGGCTTAACGGGTTGGCCCGACAAAGTCTTATTGTAAAATGAGATGGGTATCGTAGTGACCTGCGAGCCAGTATCCAGTAAACAAGAGCATTCCTGTTCAGAAATCTTCACCAGCGCAGTACACTTTGAGCCGACAAGGCCACGCGGTAGTCGAGACAAAGATGGTCCTGAAGTGATCGGTTGTACTTCTGTGCATTGAACAGTCTTTTTAGAGGGACATTTTGGGTCCTCTCCAGCCCCTGGTCGCCCCTTACCAGGAACTGGTTTTAGTTTAACTTTCTGCCAGATGAAAAATTTCCCTTGGACTGGACTGACTTATTATACTGCTTTTTCTTGTGTGCAACCAATATGGAGTTGGGCTCGTTGGTGCATTGGGGCCGGATATGGCCGTCTTCACCACAACGGAAACAAAATCTGGGTTTCGAAGAATCTGTTTTGTGAAACTGTTTCTCAGTCTTGTATTTTGCAGCGGATCTGGACTCTGAAGAGAATAGAGATGGTTTCTGACTGGGCTTGTTTGTAGTCAACAGGGACAATTGAGTTTGAATGTCTGCAATTTGCTGAGCTAACTGCTGGGTGACAGACGTGAGTGCCGCAATGGCTCCCCCCTCATCATTCTCTGTACGTACGAACTGAGAATGAGCAGCCACCTTCTGCTTTACTGACCCGAGATGCTGCTTCATACGAAGATTTTTAGCAGCGTCACGATCTTCTTCAGTACGCAGTAAAAGGAGCAGTTCTGCGAAAGATGGTGGACTACACTTTTTTTGCTTTAGCTGCAGTTCTGAAATCAGCGTATTGTCCCAGCAGCCGCGACAAAACTGACTGAGTAAATGTCTATTAATTTCAGTTTCCGAGACTCCTCCTCTTTTGACAGCCAGATTAAGTGCGCATTGTAGACGTTGTAAATAAGTAGATGGCCGCTCCCCTGAGTTTTGGAAAGTGTCCATGAATTTTGCAAACAATTCCTCCCCATCCTGCACTGTCCCATAAGCAGAGTCCAAGACTTGTAAATACACAGTGGGGAGTGTATCAGGGCTTAAGTGTCTTATTAGATCCACAGCGGGTGGTAGAAGGCTGTCCACGATTCGCCGTGAACGGTGAAGGTCTGATACAGATGGATCTGTAAGCAATAGATCCACTCCTGCCCGCCATGTATCATAATCCGCCTCTTGAGTGGGTCTGGGATCCCGGCCGGAGAAAGCCCGGAGCCGTTGAGTGGAGATGTGATGGGATGAGATTTCATCACTCTTAACAATGTGCTCCACAACCAGCCGCTGGACCTCTGGAGGGTGTAAATCCGGACCTGCAGGGTAATGCATATTGGGCTGGAATGATGTGCGTTGGGGGAGGGATTCACTGCTTCGCTGCTGAGTACTAGCGGCACCTGCCGTAACATCAGCGCCAGGGCCTGGGGGCACGGACTGCATGGTCGGGTCAGGAACTGCAGCCGCCTCCTTCACCTTAACACCTAGATTCACTGCTGGGAGAGAACGACCAATCTGATTCATCATAGACGAAAGAATCTCTGCAAAATCTAAGCCTGTAACTTTGGCTAAGTTTTGCATATCTGCAAGGTAAGATTCAGTTTTACTTTTACCCATTTGCTTTAAATAAATGCCAGATAAATCAGAAATGAAAAATGTACTAGTATCTTTCCTAGATACATAAGTATAAGGCAACGCTGGCTTTAGCGCAGTGATCGCTGAACCTGATTCAAATTCAATGACAATTGTTTTATCAAATTCAGAATCAGGATCATTTATCATTTCATGACGAGAGATTTTTCCGTAACGTTTGAGAAAGTCAAACACTTCCTCAACCTCATTGGATTCAGTTGAGCCCTCAACCAGTACGGCATTAGGGAATTTAACACCCAGTTCTTCAAAAACTTCCATTTCGACCCAATTTTGGCAATACAAACTCAAATTAAACACAATTCCTTCCTCCTGGCTAGCTCGCCACTTTATGTAACACTTGTAATACAGTTCAAAAGTAAAATTATAATAATGGTTCGTCCCTCTGGGAGGAAAGGGTTGTGCTTGACAAAGAGAGGACACAAGTTTGCATGCCACCCGGTTTAGTTTAGTTGAAGGGGAAATTTTGTATGTACAATATATACAATATTTACAATAGTGCACTTCATTGATCAGTTTGAACACCAAGCTCTGGCTGTCATCGTCTCTCCATAGTCCATAGTCTGTTACAGAATCCAGGAAACCAGAATCCAGGGAACCATAATCCGAGGAACAATAAACCAAGGAACAATAAATCCAGGTCCGTCCCGCACGCTGGAGGTGGTGGGACCTGAACGGACACCCGGACACGAACAAGGACAAGTGTGTGGCAGCAAAGGCCTCCTACCGCACCATTTGAAGAGAGAGAGCTCAGGGTCTTGAGAACCAATCACTTTAGAGGCAGACCTCTCACAGACACAGGGCTGGACTCGGGGTCTTCAGCAAGCCTGGCCTGCATAATATACAACATGCATGTCTAAATACTTAATCACTTTGTGTACACAATAATCACCAATTAAAATGCAAATAATGATCATACCAGTGTGGCATAAATGTACAAATATACCGTGAATACAATGGTCTTATCAAAATGCATTAAGAGGCGTATAAATAAACAGTGCATAAAAGGCACAGTATTTCATAACGAGCTCGACACTACAAGACAGTCAACATGGCCGCGGGAGCTAAAATCAGCTAATCACACTGGCATGGACATTATCTCATAACATAACTTATTTTATATACAAATAGGCGCGATGCCAAAATGTGCAAATATGCAATACAATGCATTGAAATTCATTTGTGCAGTGAGTACAATCACAACAACAGGTATCAGTTAACATGAGAATCATGGCGACACTTACCGATCCCACTAAGTCTCTCAGAAATATGGTCACGATATGTGTCGCGGTAGACCGACCTACGGGTTGAGGGACACAACGCACCATTTATTAAAACCCGATCTATTCTAGACGGTGGATTTAGTCATATTCAGGCAAATCTTACCTACTGCCGCACCCAAGTCCCGCTTGTCCCACGCACCTAGCTGGCAGCCAGCGGCTACTGTGTATAAGCAGTATGGTGCTGGGTTGCCGACCGCAAAGGCTCATGGGAAACTGCGTTTTTTAATCTTTTAGTTAAAAATACAAGAAACGGACACATATATATTTATATAGAGGGTTACATACATCTGTGTAGTCAACGTCACTTACATCAAAAACCCATTCAAACACATGATTAGTATGACACAGGCATCTTGCGGACCCCAAACACAAACGCTTCTTAGTGTACCTTTGATTCATGATTTGCTGTCATCTTCTTGACACTTGAGTACGTGTGTGTCTATGTATTTATAAGGCGAGCTCCAGGAGAGGAAAGGATCTTGGCCTCAATCAGAAGCACAGCTCGATTGCCGGGACTTAGTTCTTACTAAAATACCTCTGAAAAGCTTTGTCAACATGTGCAGAGCTGCTAGAGCCAAAGCTGCTCTTCCTTTCACCGTCTGTGCATTGGGCTTTTTGGGAAACGGTTTTGATATTCCAGTTAAATACAAATGACATGCAGCTGCAGAGTTATAACTGTTGACTTTTTCTTGTCAAAGTTTATTCATTATTTGTTGTTTTGTTACAGCAATCGTATACAAAGCCCCAGAGTACCCTGAGCACGACTTCAGTGAGGCGCCAAAGTTCACGACCCAGCTGAACGACCGCGCCGCCACCGTGGGATACAACACCAAACTGCTGTGTTCAGTCCGCGGATCTCCCAGGGTCTGATTGCTTTCCTACTCCTTTTGAATATTTTGCTGTGTTTAAATTGTTTACTAACAGCATTCATTATGACAACCATGGCTATTTAATTTGATCATTTATCCATCCATTCCTATACGCATGCAATTATACTAACAATGCTTTATATGGCATTTTTAATTTCACACACTGTGGTGGTAAGTTAAAACTATTGTCACAACTGCCAGTCCATCCATCCATCCATTTTCTTCCCCTTAATCCATTGCTGGTCCGGGGGGGTGGCAGTCAGAGCTGCACCCAGTACACAGAGCACCAGCCCTTCACTGATCCTCCTGCAAGTGGAGAGTCCACAGGAGCTGAGATCTTTCAGCGGGGGCTTCAGGCATGGTGGGGTTAAGTGTCTTGCCCAAGGACACAACGACAGCAGACATCAGTGGGAGTCGTGAAGTAGGTCTTACGGTGGGCTCGAACCCACGACCTTCAGGCCCAAAGGCGGATGCTCTACCAACGGAGCTACTGTCGCCAATCCATTCCTGCATAATATAGATGAAGTGTCTTGCTGAAGAACACAATGGCTTCAGAGTCACAGTCGTCTCACTTTGGTCCCTGGAAGTCTCCCATCCAAGTACTGATCAGGTCTTGACTTTTTTTTGGAATCTGATGAGATTAGACAATGGTAGACAGGTACGATCATACATCCATATCGTATATATACTGTATATACACATACAAAGTAATCAAATACATTAAAAACATGTCTTTTTTAAGTTTGGAACAAGGTTTTCAAAACTTGTACAGCATAGCACTTCAGCTACAAAGATCTCCTGATGAGCCTGCAGTGGTGTGATTCTGTGAGGTCCCACTGGCTCAGTTCTTGGGGAGAGTCGGGATAATTTTATCTCTGCAGTCGGTTCAAAAGGCCATGGTGCAAACACAGTTCATTATTGCCTTGTGTCCTTGGCCGTTGAAATAATAGAAACAACTATGGCTGTGTATGTTTATGTATAGGTTTAAAAGACGCACACCAATGGAAATGAGATGCAGATCTAGAGGGTAAATACTTCAGTGCCATATGAGAAGTTAGCAGAATCTAAGAGTGATTTGCTTACCTTAAGAATGCAACATGGGGCGATCCCTCGTACTATGTGTTAATGACTCATCCCAAACATATGGCAACGGTTACTTTGCTCCGAAGATTCAGGCCCAGTTGCTGATTTGCACTCTGTGACTGAAATAAGTATCTGTAAATACAGTTGTATGTATGCCTAAAATAAATTCATCTTTGATCAGGGTGGAACAGAAGCTGGAGATTGAGTTGAACCAGCTGTTTGAAACACACCTATGATCAGCCACCAGGGGAAATATGATAAATAATCTGAATGTCAATACAAGTACAATTAATGTACTCACTTTTAGACATCACTTTCAGGATTTGGATAAGCTCCTGGTGCCTCTGATTAAAAGTTGCATTTATATACGTGTTAGTAAAGCGTCTCAGAACCAGCAGATAAGATAAAAGTCAAGTCCTGTGAAGGCTTCGATGTTTCTATATTTGGAATCTACTGTTCTATCCCTGTCCTTGTTGTAGATGTTCACTTACTCAAACAGATAGAAATGATTACAAACATCTATATTTAGTCAATATTATTAGCAGAGACATATTTAAAGGTAGTAACCTGGACCAAGTTTACTTTTGGCTGCAATAAATCTTTACTGAATGAACGAGGAACTTCACCGCTAAATATTATTGGGGAAAATACTCACGTTTGCTTTTCTTCTATCATGTTCTCCCTAAAAAAGTTGATACTATATCAATGAAATCAACTTTAGCTTAAGTGTAATTCAATAAACCTTGCAAGTCACCTTGTAACTGGGCCTCAAGATTCCAGCAGGAAATCCTCAAGTGTTAGTCATCCTAGAGCGGGACATACCAGGGCCTGGAGCAGGCGAGCCCTCCTTCCATAAACTGTTTGATCAGTGTAATAGGCAAAAGTAGGCCCCATGATGTATTAGTAAAGATACTAATACTACTAATGAGTTATTTATATTTTCACATTTTAAATGCCATTTTCAGCGTATGGAAAGACACTGTAAACATTTCTTTATGGGAACATTAAAATATATACCTTAACCTTAAGCTCTAATAGATAATGCATTATTCTTAATTGATAGTACTTTTTTTTTACAAAACACATTCAATATGACTTTTTATCCTCTTTCCCTCTTTCAGCCCAAGATCGAGTGGTTGAAGAATCAGATGATCATCGGAGACGACCCGAAGTTCCGGATACTGTCCAATCAGGGCATCTGCTCCCTGGAGATCCGGAAACCCTGCAGCTGGGATGGGGGCGTGTACACATGCAGAGCCAAGAACCAGCAGGGCGTGGCCACTGTGTCCTGCAAACTTGAGGTCAAACGTACGTACACGGACCATGTTAATTGTTGTTGTGATTTTGTCTGAAGAAACTGTTAATGTGCAAATGTTTTGTTCACAGAGGTCATACTCCCAGATGGTGAGAAAGAAAAATAAGTGGTTAAGGTGAGTAAATTATTACACAGTACGATTATTACATTACATTAGCGTTCATGCATCACAGCAAGACCATCCTGGTTCTCAATTCCTGAGTTAGCCTTTCTATGTGGAATTTGCATGTTCTCTCCATGTCTGCTTAAGTTAAAACATGTACAATGGAATGTAATGATAGAGTGAACAGATGGTGATGGCACAAGGTTGTGTGTGTGTGTGCGTGTGTGCGTGCGTGTGTGCATGTGTGCATGTGTGCGTGTGTGTGTGTGTGCGTGTGTGCGTACGTGCGTGTGCGTGCGTGTGCTCACCAAATGGAAATTTCTTCAAATTGTAAAGTGTTTTTTGTAACCTCAGTCTATGAAAAGTGCTATATAAATAAAGATTATTTACTTACTTACATACTATAAACACATATAGACTTGCACCAACAAACCCTATCCTACAGCTCTGTCGCCGCATCACCTTCCCAACATTCTCACACGCAGCTCGTCACTCATCCTCTATCAGTATTCTCAGTTTATGAGAGTTGGGTTCCTTCCACGTTTTCAGTGATATGAGCAAGTGTAGTGCATGTAGTCAGTCCTGGATGTCCAGAACAAGATTATGTTGGTTCATTTGTCAATAAATAATAGCTGGAACAATATATTTTGGGGCAGTATAATTATTTTCAACCTTTTCTTTTCTATAATGAAGAGGGTTTATCCGATTCTCAGCACATTTGACTTATAGTTAGGATTATAAAGTAACTTTTTAAGGTTTGTAATACACCAGATGGTGAAATAAGTAGCTTAACATGCTAATTATTGTAGGAAATAATGTAGGAAAAAAAAAACTCTTTTGGGTTTTCCCAGCCTATGTACGTAAACGCTCATCTTGCCGAACATGGCAGCACAAAGGAACATAAAGTAAAGTAACCTTTCTTTCTTGGCCTTTAGTTCCTTGGTTTGCTCCTCTCCTCGAGTACTACTTTTGGACAGCGCTAATGTGCTGAAGATTAATGGTTGTTGATTTGAAATTCCAATTTTGATGTTTTTACAGCTGAAATAGTCTATTCATAGCTGCCGACATATTGGTGTTTGGAGACTGACACTTTGATACGAGCTCCTGAAGCACTTGAGGGGTGTGCGCTTTCATCAGATGCCAGAGACGTTTGTGTTGGTGTTGAACTGCTGACAAGAGGAAAACAATTAAAGTCTATATGTGTGATAAAACACACATAAAACAACAATCGGAGTAAAAGAATACAAATAAAATGAAATGATTTGGTTTGGATCATATTTTCAGAAGCAGAGGTTGTAGAGTCGCTGCTGATCACGGAAAGGACATACCAGCAATTTCTTTTTACAATACTATGAAACACAATATCACTTTCTGCCTAAACAAGATTAGAAAGGACTCTCTGGACACTGTTTTACGAGACAATCTTTAGCTTCAGAGGAATCTGAAACTTGTTTCTATAAACATCAGCTAACCTTTGTTGTGGAATCACTGTAATGTTAACGACATTTTTGGTTTACTTTAAAATTCAGGCAAATTTTATTTATTTTTTGGCAATGATTGTGTTTAGATCTTGACTAAGCACCAACACAAGGCCCGCTCATAAAACCCCGGTTTATGATCTAGTCCAGAGTACTGTTAGTTTCACCTTGACCTGAGACTCCCTTTCCTTACTTGGCTACTTCACATAAGCACATTGGGAGGATGCAGTTGTTGCGAAACACTCATACTACAAAGATGTCCTTGAGAGAGTGGTCAGGGACATTTGTTCACGCTGCTCTTTGAATGGGGTCAAATACCAGCCTCGAAATGGGACTTGCGGCTGGGATCCCAATGCATCCTGTCTGTGTTTGGATGCTCTCACACCTGCAGCTCCAGCTGTCCACTTACTGTAAGATCAGGTTACTAAAATGAGATAGCTAGGACCAAATGTTCCACATGACAGTGTTGTCTTGCATCTTGGTCATGAACTAACTGTATGCAATTTCTCTAAACTCCCTTCACCAGACCATAGTCTGAATTATTGAGATTAGCATTCAAATGATCCACCTCAAATCACTATTAATTATTTAACCATATTTTGAATAATAAAACCCCCCAACATGTGTGTAGCCATAACCTGTTAAATTCTGAATACTTATTTTCTATTTTCAATTGATAAAATAAATCAGTAACTCTGGGGGAGTCTTGCACAGTTATTCCAATGGGGTCTTACTGCAAATGGAAATAAACTGAATTTTGAAATTTCACACATCCAGCTCATGCAGGACAGTTTTTTTTGTAAGACAATTTGTTTTTTTTACAAATTTACAAGAACCGGGGTTTATTTTCCCCATGAAGAATGTGCTTTAATGTCCCCAGAGAGAATAAAGAACCTCCACCACTACTATAAGAATGATGTTAATGGGACAGAAAGGTATGTTGCTGCTGTTATTGTTATAACAAAATAGTAAACATTTGACAATAAATGGCTTCACAAAATCACTAACAATGAGTGAAAAAAGTGTTAGTTACTGTACACTAAATATCTGTAATTTGTGTCAATGAAATGCCTAGTCTGAGACTTCCTGTTACTTACAATGGCAATAAACTATCCTGATTTTGATTCTGATTTTGAACATCTTCACACTGAAACCAACACATATCTCCTCTTAAAACATTATCAATCCAAAAGATGAGGAAATGATTATGTTTAAAATCCTTAAACTAAAGTATGTGTATTTGTAGCAGGATGCCGGCCCATCCATACATGGGGTGACCTGTCAAGGAGAAAAACAAGGGATTAGCGCATGGGGAGTGCCTTTGGGAGGAGGCAGCAGCCGTGATGTCAGCGCTTCTCAACACTTTTTCTAAAAATGGCTCTGGATGATCGCACTCTTCACATTACCCTGAGTCGACAGGCCCAAAGCAGCAGCGTGCAGTGGGCTAAGAGGGGGAGAAACCCAGTCCTAATCCCCACTGGAAAATGTATACACCCAGCAGGCCAAATCTGAACAACTCAATTAAAGATGCTCTGTGTAACTTTTCTTGTTGGCAGATACAGGAGGGTCTGAGGACAGTGACGATCCAGGACATGTGTAGACATTTATGAATACTGGTCACCCTGCAACCCCATAGACCAGGGCAAACTCACTGGTCGGGGGCCAAAATTTAAAACATAAGAGTTGGTTGGGCTTGAGGTATAAAAATAATAAAAATAATAATAATAATGTAGTTTTTTCTTTTTACATATTTTGGTCTTTTGACAAATTAACTGACTTTGGATAGTATTTTCTAGTTGGATTCAACCACAACTGGGCCAAATATCAATAGGAGATGTATTGGAAGACTGATTGTTAAAACTAAAAATGATCATAATTAAGATAAAGAAATTAAAAAAAAAAAAAAAAACTAACTTCTAATTACATTTGAATTAACATTTTATGACAAACACAATTTTATGGTTGTTTTCCTGTGACAGTAGGCTTTGAAATTAAGTATTACATGCTATGGTAGCCCCTTACCATCAATGCTGCAAGTTACTATGATAAAGATATAAAAAATCATTTCAGGAGCCACAAAAAATGGTCTTGCGGGCTGGATTTGGCATTTCCTGTGTTCTAATTGTTTGATTCTCTCGTCTGTTGTTAGAAAATTGACAATTTAGGAAAGTCAAAGAGACAAATTTGGGTTATACAACATTAAATTGAATAGCTTGCTTTGAAGGTGCCGGGTCCTGATGCTCATAAATAACACATTCTACCATATTCTGCATGTGATTGCTAAGATCTGATCTGTGACATGGTTTAGCAGTGAACTGTTACAGGTGACATTTTCATGAAGATTAGGGGAACTCATTTCCTTCTGGGTAATATTTTTAGGGCCAGGAGAAGTCCAGGTCTTATTTATGAGGTGAAATATTCTGATCAAGATAAATGCTTGTTGATAGTTATCTCATTTTTCTTCAAATATTTTGTTTTTTGATTAGTAAAAGTATTATTTATTTAGATTTGTGACAAACTTTTCTTTTTCTGTCTTTTGTTACAGCAAGAGGGAATGGCAGATCTGGGTTTGGATGTGTGAGCACGAGACAGGAATGGACAGAACAGAAAAAAAATCATCTTTGCATCAGTTTTCAGGAAGGACACAACACTTCGCCTAACAATGATAAATTGTTAATAAATAACAACCCAATATCTGCCTCTGTCACACGTTTTTAGTTTAGCTGGAAAAAAGTATGTTAGACTTGATGAATACTGATTTTTGTATTCCCTTTGTTTACGGTTGTGTTCTAGTTAATAAAACTATTTATTCAAACTGGTTGAAAAATGTTTACGTTTTTTTTAATCATTGAAATCAGAAATGGACGCAAATATGACGTTTAGTATATTATTATAGGTATCCTACTGCCGCCACATGGTCAACGTTTGCATTGCAGGAACAGGTGGACAATAGGATAATGAAAGCTATTATTTGTGTTATGATTTAATTAATTCAATGTATGAAATTAGTGTCTGCTCTAAAACGAATTGCATATGCTTGATATGTGATTAATCTAATGTGATTTTCTAGTTTTTTTTAACCTTGATACATTTAATATGATACAGATGTGAGTGGGCAGTGCGTTTTCACTTTGATGGTTGAGCTAAACAAAACCGGTGTTTTTTCAGGGGTTTTAATTGTTTTTTATATACTAGTGGTTGTTCGTTAATGAACTTAATGAACATGTTAATGAACATGCAGAATTACATGGGAAAACACGTGTTAATAACAGTAAAAGCTTGAATCAATTTCATGTAACAGCTATTTATGGCTGGTGCATATAGACTTTAAAGCTGCTCTGATTGTATAGTCTCTCCATGGTCTCGCACCAAAAGTTAGTGACATGAACCAACTCGGACTCTGAGGAGCACAGGGACTGTGATAAATGAAACATTGGATCAACTTAATAAAATTAGAGTAAACATTCACAATAAAGATCACACATTGACCTAAGGTTCAGAAAGCATTCAGTTCGATCTAAATTTCTGCATTTTGTTAATTTGGTGTAAGTCAATATTTTACATTGGCTCAAATATAAGAAAAATGCATGCCTTTCATACAAACTCTTTTCTCAATTTGGTGTAAATAAGAAAACTGAAGTGGCTTGAGTGTAAAAGAAGGGTTTTTACAGAGTTGATCTCAAATTAGTTTTACTCAATATGAAATATGTATTTGTTGCAAGTGTATTTTAATCTTCCACTTGGAGGAAGTTTGTTAGATATTGTAATCACTACAGTACATAGTAAAGTCATAAACTTGCTGAGAAGTAATAATGCTTGCAACTCTGTTAGAATTGAGTTTCAGGGCGCATGCTTTGGCATGGCCCTGTCGATCACGGTTGGTTAAAAAAAATACAATTACTTATTTGATCAAATTAGTTTATTCAAAATGTTGCTCAATTATTTTGCTTTAGGACTTACTTCATATTCACTCTTAAAATTAATGCTCAAATGTAGAATTTTTAAGAAGTTTATATTTTTCTCTGCAATGCATTCTGGGTAGCGTCAGCACTTTGCCACATTTTGTTTTCAATCAACACAAAATATTTGTTTTGTCATTAATGGACCAGGATTATAGAAGAAATATTTAAAGTATTTTCACTTAAAGCAATAAAATCAGTATTGTACAGGGTGCTATGATAATATTGTACAGTACTTATTTGTTAACCAAAAATATAGAATAGTGGAAAATGAAGTATATAGTAATTACTTACAATATTTTACATCAAAGTTTGGTCTGATTCACTTTTGGTCTGATTTCAATTTTATATTCTCTCAATATTTTTTTCCTAAAAAGTCACTCAGACCAAACGTTCTTTTCAGTATTTATTAAATGTATGAAACACACTTTTAAGATTACAGACATCAACTTTTTAACAGCAAATCAGTCTCCTCAACCGTCCACTCAAGTTCTGCCTTCAACGTCTTCTTCTTCCAGAACTTTCTCTCAGATTTCATGTGTGTGCATGCGCGAATCGTGCTCGATTGATAAAAGTAATTTGATCGAATGTATAATTTGAATCTTATTTTTATTGTATACTTTTATATTGTATAAATCTACAAAAATAGATTGAAGGAGACATCATATTTACAAAATTTAGTTGTATCTAACAATTTAATTGTTAGGCTATAAGGATGATCAAATGAAACACAGCAATGTTTTACTTTTTTCAGTGTGGTGCCTAGAGTCAGAGCTAAACATGAGGAGGCACCATTTCAAATTCCTGCTGCTAAAATCAGGAACAGTCTTCCTGAAAATGGGAGATAGGCTTCTTCTCTGACTGTGTTCAAATCCAGGTTGAAATCAGACCTGTTTAGCTGTGCATAACTGAGGGATTTTTATCTGCACTCTTTTTAATGAACTGTGATTATTTATGGGTAAGGGTTGTAATGCCATTTGTAATTGTTTCTATCTGGTTTTGTTCAGCACTTTAAGTTGCCTTGTGTATGAATTGTGCAATACAAATAAACTTGCCTTGCCTAGCCCAGGCTTACAATTCATGTAGTTGGATTCATGGCGTTGAGGTTCATTTCCTCAGTACACGTTCTAGATTAATTTCTAGTAATGATTGAATGGATGATTCTACTTATTTGTGAAGGTTTATTGCGGATACTGAACGTCAAGTCCATTTACAGTAACTGTGCTGCTCTAAGGGTTGTAGACAGTTCACAAAATGTCTGTTCAAATTGTTAGTAGATTTACCACCCGAGAAAACCTGCTCCTCTAGATCTCATAAGCAGGACAAGTTGGTACTGTGATGGGAGACCTCCGTTGAGCCTAGTATGATTTGGCCTGTGTGTGAGTAGTTGGTGGAGTGGTTAAAGTGCACTCTTGATGTTACAGTGACAATATTCTCATGATATGAATCTACTCTATACTTTAGTTAGAATATATTATAGAACTTCTGCATTATAAAAATGATTGTCATATTTGTCAAAATGGAGAAGGATAAAAAAAAGAAGATCAAACTGTGGTTGACTGTCACATTTCCAGCCGCCTACAAAAGCAGAAGGGAAGTGCTTTAGAAGAGAGACAGGAAGCATCGACCTGAGGTGTTCATGAAGCTCTCACACACGCCCTGCGGCTGCCTCTTCTGAAGCTCACTCAAACACTGTGTCTACGGCACGGAGGAAAATGTGGGTGCCTGAACTCCTCTTTTTTATTTGTAAGTAACAATAAATTCACACTGTTTAGTATCTGTCAGGTATTTTTTGTTTGTCATTCAAATATAAATGCATAGTTTTTGTTTCAGATTACAGTGTCAGTTGTTCTGCACAGGAAAATGGTGAGAAGAGAACAAAAATAATGATAATACAATTAAAAAGTAATTTCTGAACTATATAGGCTCTATATATATATATATATATACTGTATGTATACCTGTTTGAGAAAAAATCACTTACTTTAGCAAGAAAGGCTTTCATGCCATTTTTTTGCGTGTGTGTGTGTGTGTGTGCTAAACCATTGATCTATAAGGGACTAAACCCCTAATTATATTTTTGAAGCAGGATCTAGAATATGTGACATATATGAGTCATTTTGTGAACCAATGTGACTTGTGGCTTTGTCTTGTTTCAGCTCTTCCGGTGCCAAGCGTGCATCTGCAGTCCCAGTGGTCTGAGGTGTTTCCGTCTGAACTTGTCACATTAAACTGTGACATACAGAGTGAGGACTGGGCCATTGTGTGGTACAGAGATGAGCAGGAGGTCCCTGACAGCTCTGTGACTCTCTCTGAGGAGAACAAGATACTGAATTTTAATGCACTTTCACACTCACAGAGTGGACAGTACAGCTGTAAAGGCCGGCGCAAAACCAACGCCTCTGTCAGCACAACACGCAGCAACGCTGTGCAGATCACTGTCCAGGGTGAGCCACAATAATAATATTAATATTCAAACACGTTATGTCATCATTCACGCCATACACAGCAGTCATAACTACTACTGTAGCCATGACTGCCCTAACAGAGGCAAGGCAACCAGTATGTGCCATCAGCCCACCACCACCAACCATTCATGCAACAGGCTCATTGTAAGCAATGTAGGTGAAGTGTCTTGCCTAAGGACATATCAGGAGTTTGGCACTTTACAGCCACAGCCGTCTCACTGTGGCACCTGGTGTTCCCAGAGGTCTCCCATCAATGTGCTAACCCGGTCCTGTTCTGTTCTGCTTAGCTTCAGAGGTCTTACGGGATGTGCCCAAATTTGCATGTGAAAGCCATAAGAGAACAATAATTATTTAAATATGAATACAATTATTACAAATCACAATCAATCTATTTCTATAATTTCCCTTTGCAGACAGAAAATATCCTTATTTATACTCCACTCCAGTTATAATGTACTGTGATATTGTTTCACAAAACTGTTTAAGTGTTTCCCCACTACTTGCGCCAACACAGTCATAATTATAAGCATGTCACTTGTGATGGTTTCAAAATGTATTAGTCGGTTTGTGAAAAAAAATAAAAAAGATACAAATAAAACCTTTCCTTGCTTGCCCCATAGAACAAAAGCTGAATCCAGCAATAACCATCGATGGGAACCTGCGAAACATATTTGTTGGTGAATCGTTCAAACTGAGATGTTCAGTCCGTGAGCAGTCTTTGTGGAAATATGTATGGTACCGGGACGGTACCATCATACATCGATCTTCAGAGGAGGAGCACATTGTGGGGTCTGCAGCGGTCACTGATACTGGAAACTACCACTGCAGAATAAAGAGAGGAGGAGTGACGGTCAGCTCAGACAGTAATACTATCAGTGTTCAAGTAACAGGTACGTTTTAACCACATCCTTTTTATATCTGGCAACGTGTCAGCGCAAACTAGAAAGTGGTGGACCATAAAGCTTCATTGCAGAGTCTCACAATGTCCAGCATGTTTGAACTAAGCACCAGGTTCAGCAGATGTTACACAAAGTGAGGAAAAGGATGTAAGGAGTGAATTAATATGGCCGTGTTATTATATAAAATTCTCTATTCTTACAAAGCGCTATATAGAATACATGCAATACACTACAGAGAACGTGGAAAATACTTATTCATACATAATTTACTTCTGTTACACTTTATATCGTTTGTATTGTAGATGTCCCCACGCCTACAGTGAAGTTGTTAAGTCCCTGGTCCGATGTGATTATGAAGGAGAAGGTGTTGCTAAGATGTGAGACTCTGGGGCCAGACTGGACCTTCAGCTGGTTTAAAGACGGACAAGCGGCTTCTAGTCCAAACCTAAAAGTCACTGATCAGGGAGGAGCACAGCTTACGATCACCGCTGTTTCTAAGAGTCTGCAGAGGAAATACACCTGCAGAGCCCAACATAACACCAGACACGTCCTCTCTGCGCAAAGCCAACCAGTTACAATCACTGTACATGGTAATTTCTTTTCATTTTTTTCCCTTCACTGAAAATTCCCTGCCCTTATCATCATTAGCTGTTCCTCCTTTGTGCATGTTGTAACAATCTATTCCAAAATGTTTTCTCCTTTCAGATACACCCAAACCCACGCTCTCCAAAACCCCTGCACTCCCCAGGCTGTATATTGGTGAGACAGTGACCTTCTCGTGTGCGGTGTCTCTGTCTGGTGGGTGGACGTTCAAGTGGTTCAGAGATGATGTAGAAATTGGACGCTCAGATCCCACTCTCAGCATCACCCTGGGTCGGTCTGATGCAGGGGGGTACTCCTGCAAAGCCCTCAGGGGCACTGGAGGAGAAACTCACACCAGTGACAAGATGACACAAGCTGTTTCTGGTATGATTTCACAAACATGTATTATTAATAGATTTAAGTCCAGTTCCAGAAGCAATGTTATGATGTAAACTGTGGCTAAACTTTTAACTGCTGCTTTTTATTTAAAGTCACAGTGGCACAGTGGGTTAATGGTTACAACTGTTGCCACTCAGTAAGAGGGTCCTGGTGGAGTTTGCATGTTCTCTCTGTGTCTGCATAAGTTTCCTCCTCACAAAGGGGCTAAAGAGAAAAATTATCCTTGAGTTAATGTTAGGGTCTTTACAGCAGTCGTTGTTCATTGTGACAAGCTGCGCCTAAAAATTAAATTAAGGGCATGTTAATTTGTTTTTCTCTTACTTTGCCTTTAAAACGTGCTTCTCTGTACATGTATATGATTCAGCAGTGTTTATTTTGGCTTGTTAGTTCTATGTAATCAAGAATATGATTTCTCACCTCCAGAAAGTTACTGTATATAAGCCAACTGCTTTTTTTTCAGAAACACTAGTGATGGCTGTGTTCATATTTCGTATAGTACAATAAAAGTCAAAGAAAAATATCCAAAAAGAGACAGGTGTAATGGCAGCAGTAACACAGAGAAGCTGGAAAATACTTATTCATACATAATTTACTTCTGTTACACTTTATATTGTTTGTATTGTAGATGTCCCCACGCCTACAGTGAAGTTGTTAAGTCCCTGGTCCGATGTGATTATGAATGAGGAGGTGTTGCTAAGATGTGAGACTCTGGGGCCAGACTGGACCTTCAGCTGGTTTAAAGACGGACAAGCGGCTTCTAGTCCAAACCTAAAAGTCACTGATCAGGGAGGAGCACAGCTTACGATCACCGCTGTTTCTAAGAGTCTGCAGGGGAAATACACCTGCAGAGCCCAACATAACACCAGACACGTCCTCTCTGCGCAAAGCCAACCAGTTACAATCACTGTACATGGTAATTTATGTTCATTTTTTTCCCTTCACTGAAAATTCCCTGCCCTTATCATCATTAGCTGTTCCTCCTATGTGCATGTTGTAACAATCTATTCCAAAATGTTTTCTCCTTTCAGATACACCCAAACCCACGCTCTCCAAAACCCCTGCACTCCCCAGCCTGTATATTGGTGAGACGGTGACCTTCTCGTGTGCGGTGTCTCTGTCTGGTGGGTGGACGTTCAAGTGGTTCAGAGATGATGTAGAAATTGGACGCTCAGATCCCACTCTCAGCATCACCCTGGGTCAGTCTGATGCAGGGGGGTACTCCTGCAAAGCCCTCAGGGGCACTGGAGGAGAAACTCACACCAGTGACAAGATGACACAAGCTGTTTCTGGTATGATTTCACAAACATGTAATAGATTTAAGTCCAGTTCCAGAAGCAATGTTATGATGTAAACTGTGGCTAAACCTTTAACTGCTGCTTTTTTACTGCTTTTCATTTAAAGTCACAGTGGTACAGTGGGTTAATGGTTAGAACTGTTGCCACTCAGTAAGAGGGTCCTGGTGGAGTTTGCATGTTCTCTCTGTGTCTGCATAAGTTTCCTCCTCACAAAGGGGCTAAAGAGAAAAACTATCGTTGAGATAATGTTAGGGTCTTTACAGCAGTCGTTGTTCATTGTGACAAGCTGCTTTCAAAAATAAAATTAAGGGCATGTTAATTTGTGACAAGATCACCCTGACTGTTCATGGTACGTTTCCACTGTCTTCATATGAAGCAATCATTATTCACAAGCAGTGAAAATAAAAACAAAAGTATGTCAGAGACATATCTAGCGTTATGACATAACCATGTGCAATAGTTCTTCAATTCAATTTATTTTAGTATGGCCCTTGATCACGACAGCAGCTGCCTCGGAGGATTTACAAAGCTGTCAATTTGTCAAAAAAAGATCAGATATTATTTCAAACCGTTCGAACACAGGAACGTGCTGGAACAATACTGTCCTTAGATTCAAGGAACAACTCAAAAAAAAAAAAAAAAATGTGTGAACCTTTGATAGAATATCCCAGAATATCTTTGAGCCTTGAAGTGAATGGGAGGTGAAAATATAGAGACCAAGGTTCATGAGACAGAAAGTTGAACATAATTTTTGGAACCCCAAAACAGAAGTCCACAGGATGGTCACTGGTTTCTATACTTGTCCTTCCTATTATAATGTTATTTCATCTAAACGATTAATCAATTAGCCATTTTGACTAAATAATTCATTTATACTACAATATTACATTAATGAAAGCCTGTTTACATTCAACTGAATTTAATACAGAATTTAAACTAGTATTATTTTGTGATTCTAGGTAATTGTGAGTAAAAAGATAAAGACAGTGTTTCAAAAGTAACAGCATGTTCAGTATGGTTCCACAGGTGCTGCTTTGTGATTGGTTGATTTCCTGTGCCTGTTGCAGAGGTCCCTGTCCCTCAGCTGAAGGCCCTCACTCCTTGGCTGGATGTGTTCCCCTCTGAGGCAGTGGTGCTGGGCTGTGAAGCCTCCTCTGCTCCACACGACTGGACGTACGAGTGGATGAAAGACGGGCAGAAAATGTTGTCACCCTCTCATCACACGCTCAACATCAACTCCGCATCAGCCGCTGATGTTGGCCAGTACAAATGTAGAGCCGTGCTGAAGGGCAGGCGAGTCACCACCTCCTTCAGCACAGGACTTGCTCTCACGGTGTACAGTACGTTTTACAATGTTTGTTTTCCATCGTCTCATTCGTTATTGAAACAAGTAACTATTATATGATAAAACAGATCGCATAAACAAAGCACTTGAAATAGCACTATTGCAAATGTTGAAGATTTACTTTAATGGAAAGAAGATTTGTTAAAATTATTCTCCTTTCACAGTGTCCATTGATTGCATATCTTAATGTATTATTCTGTCTTTTAGTGTTTTAAATGTGTGTGGTCTCTAGTGCACACTGGGTTGTTCTATTCCATTGTGGTTTCATACCGCAAATGGAAAATACACTGAAACTGGATGCAAAAGATAATTTGTAATTCTAAAACAGCTTTCTAAATTCAGAAGATAGACATGTGTAAGCTAGAAGTAGAAAGGAAATGATGATTGCAGTTTTGATGCATCACGATTCACCGAGAAATGTACACAACCCACATCCCCATTACAAAGAGACTCCATGTCCACAGCCAAATCCACATATTAGTCCAGTTTAATCAGTTCAAATGAAATTCCATTCCAAAGCACTTTTCCCTCTCATGTGTGCTCTTTTGATTTCTGCGATACCCATTTCCTAATCTACCTTCTATCTCTAGGTCGCATTTTTCGAAAACACCACATTCATTTCCGCTGCTTCGCGGTTGGCACCCAGCTCTACATCTCCAGCGAACCAGTTTCCCCACGGCCCAAACTCCTATCTCACTTCCTCCATGAAATATAATCCTGGTTCACCGCAAACTTCTTCAAATTTAACAGCAATAAAACTGAACTCCTCCTCATTGGCACCAATCCCACCCTAAATAATATCTCATTTTTTTCCATTTCCATTGACGGCTCCTCCATTTAACTCAAGTAAAGAGTCTGGGCGTCATCCTCGACAGCATGCTATCATTCACCGCACACATCAATAGCATCACCCGCATTGCCTACTTCCACTGACTCCGCCCCTCTCTCTCCCCCTGCCATACTCACATACAGCCTTGTTATCACTCACCGCATCCAATACAAAATCCTGCTTCTCACATTCAAAGTCATCTATAACCGTGCTCCTCCATACCTGACTGACCTCCTCCAGATCTCCACACCTGCCCGCTCCCTCCGCTCCTCCTCCTCTCTCCAGCTCCTGGTCCCTGCTGCCCGTATTGTCCCTATGGGGGGGTAGAGTCTTTAGCCTCTCTCCTCCCCAGCTCTGGAACACCGACTCACTCACATCCACCCTCAAAACTCATTTGTTTAGACAAGCCTACTCACTAACAACACTAGCTAACACAAATCCTCTGTTCATGCTGCTTTTAACTGTATTTTAACTAAATGTACTTGTAACTTGTGATGTAAGGCGGCCTTGAGCGTCTAGAAAGGCGCCTAAAAAATAAAATATTATTATTATTATTATTATTATCATCATCTTAACTGTGAATATTCTTCTGTCTAGCTGAGAAACCCCAACCTTTACTGGTCCAGTCTCCCGACTACTCCACGCTCTTTCCCCAGGAGCCTCTGTCCCTCCACTGTCGCATCACTGAGTCCAGCGGGTGGCACTTTGTGTGGTACAAAAACAATGTACAGCTGCCATCTACTGCAGAGAAGTATGAAGTCAAGTCTCCTGATGCCACACACTCCGGCTCATATTCATGTCAGGCCAGAAGGGGCCAGATTCACAGCTTCAGCACCGACTTGAGTCATGAAAAAAAAGTTGAAATAAGAAGTATGTTTATTTATTTTTTTATAACTCCATGTAATTTGAGTATAGCATCATCAACATTGGTTCTGATAAACAAATGCTGCTTCGTATTTCACAGATCTGTAGTTTAGGATTACCTACTCTCCATGTAAAGTTTTTTATACATTTTTTAAAAATATATAATTTTGCAGAGGATGCTCCGGTACCGGTGCTGTCGCAGTTGCCTGATGTGGACACAGTGTACATGGGAGAAATTGTAATATTTTATTGCAAACTGAACCTGTCGTCAGACTGGGAGTATCACTGGTACAAACACAACCAGAACATACCTGTTGTCAGCGATTCCTACAGTATTATAGTCAACGCAACACACGGACAGAGAGAAGTTTATAAATGCAAGGCCAAAAGAAAGAAAACCTTGTTTGAAACGGAGAGCCAGGAAAAACACATAACTATTTCTGGTAAGATTTAATTTTCTATCATGCTTGTCATGGTTTCATTGTTGGTGTTTGTATAGATAAAAGAACATGTGTGTGTGTGTGTGTGTGTGTGTGTGTGTGTGTGTGTGTGTGTGTGTGTGTGTGTGTGTGTGTGTGTGTGTGTGTGTGTGTGTGTGTGTGTGTGTGTGTGTGTGTGTGTGTGTGTGCGAATGTGTTTGTAGACATTCCTATTCCGTCTGTGAAGTCCTTAACTCAGTGGTTGGACGTCTTCCCAATGGAGACTGTAAAGTTGCATTGTGGGATGGAGACTGGGGCGTCTGATTGGATTTACATTTGGAACAGAGATGGACGGACAATTGCACAAAATGAACAAAGTACGCAGAGAAACCAGAATGGCAGTGTTCTGACTATTGTCTCCTCTGTGTCACTCGCGGGGCAGTACTGCTGCATGGCAAAGCACAGGAGAAGACCAGTCAACAGCATCAACAGTTCAGCAATAAGACTTCAGGTGTACGGTAAGAGCACTTTTATTATTATTCATAATTTCACATACATATATATATATATATTGTTGTGATTGATGACCTCAGGCTTGGGATGTTACTAAGAAAATATGTAATGAACTTGGCCAAAAACCTCTCCAACATTAGTAACATTTTTCATTAGGCAAAAATATTAGTACATTTTTTTCTCACTTTTCTTCCGTCTGTGTCATTATTTGTGTAAAGCTATTATGTATTCTTATCCGGTACCATTCCTCCAAAATAAGTCAAGATGAAAACAATAATCAAACCTGTCATACACACCTTTCTATTTGATTTGTAAATAAAAACAGCCTCCATTCAATTTGTTTATATTATGCTGTCTCTACAGATGAAAAGCCCAGAGTTACACTTGTCCAAGATCCAAAAGAGAAGACCTTCTACACTGATGATCCAGTGTCTTTCAGTTGTGGAGTCAACGTGTCGTCCGGGTGGGAGTATTCATGGTACAAAAACAATGTTTTTTTGGAATTTGGACCAAACCACACTATCCGGCACGTTCACACATCGCACAGTGGAGATTATAAATGCCTGGCCGGAAGAGGACCGTTTCAAACAGATCACAGTCAGAGTGCGATTATTCAAGTCAAAGGTACTGTGTATCGCTTTCATTTATGTTGTGTCAATGGTGACTTTTGTTATTTACCGTGAAGTGTTCAGGTCTGTTTTGGGGAGTTTTGGTGTTTTTCTTTTGCCCTGCTGTTCATTTGTGGGTTGGTTTTAGTTACTGGTGCACAGGTTGCCTTATAGGAATAGTTCACCGTTTTTACATACTGACATATGTTCTTACCTTACCTTAGACTAGTTAATATGTACCTGTCTAGTCTTAGTCCGTGCGCTCTGTCATGCAAACGGAGCAAAAACGGGAGCACAAAAGCAGCCTCCTCTGTATACTGTGTAGGACCCAAAAGGTAGCTCCCGCTAGAAGCTACCAAACTCTTCCAAGTGTTCCCTATTAAATGTATATAGTTACGTGACGTGTTACACTGCAAAGTATAGTAACACAGAAATGTAACAGTCGATTTTCTCAGCGGATAAAACGGGTACTATATTGTGAGGCGTAGTAATCTGAGGAGCGCTACGTCCGCGCACTAACTTCTCTCCGGAGACTTCTCTCTCGCTCACTTCCGTCAATAGAAGCAGCGTGACTTGTAGTACGGAGAGAAGTACGTATTAACTAGTCTAAGGTAAGGTAAGAACATATGTCAGTATGTAAAAACGGTGAACTATTCCTTCATGTGCTGCAAATTTAGAGATAATTGTTAGTTTTGATGATAGAAAGCAGGAGCACCTAGTTTTTCATGTATTCTTTCTGTTGGTACAAACAAAATAGTGTCTTGTTAAAGTAAAATATTGAGGTTGAATCAGACCACTTATTAAAAAACATACGTTTAAGAAAGAGCCCTGTGAGTCATTATTTGACTCTTTAGACTGGAAGCTGATTGGCTGCGGGTGGCCTTACAAGCATGTGAAAGTGACCGAACCAAATTGTTTCAGAGCCACTAACTAGCCATATGGATTTGGAAAAAAATAGGTACCCCAGCTTTAAGGCAAGGCAAGTTGTATAGCACAATTAATGCGGAAAACAACCCATAGTGCCATACAAAAGACAAAACGTATGTAATGAGCGTTGGATTAGAGAGTCCAAGATGGTTCATTAAAAAAATCTTGTTTCTTTTTTTACTTCACAGAACGACCCTCAGCATCTGTACTTCTGCTAACAGGCTGGTCTGAGGTGTTTTCCACAGACAGCCTTGTGCTCCAATGTGAGGCAAGAGATAGTGAGGATAAGGATTGGGAATTCCAATGGTAATAAAATACACAGATATGAAAGCAAGCACACACACACACACACGAACAGGCGCACGCACACACACACACACACACACACACACAAACAGGCGCACACACACACACACACACACACACACACACATGCAGAGTTCACCTGTAATAACTAATAGGGGTTTAATAGTTAAGACTGTACTTTTGGAACTTTTTGAACATGCGCTATTCAATGCATTATTAAACATGTTGTGAAATGAAAAAATATATAAATAAATACAAATAATATTGATAATAATATACAATGCTTTTGGGTATTGAGTTAATAAAGTATAACATTATAGATGATTGTTTTACACTATTTATCACAAATTGTACCTAAAAGGGTTCAGTAATAGAGTGGCATCATGCTCAAAACAGAAATAAATGGATACTATTCCGATACAATAAAAGTTTCATTTTTATTCAGACTTGCATTTCACCTTGAGCCAGATTTTTGAGTGTTTTTCAAAAAAACTCCCTAAAAACAGGCGGCGATAGGTGGTAGACGAAAGGGACATTTATTGAACACACAAGCCTCACATGCAGCACCTTATAATATTTCTCAACTGCAAAAGTCACTCAAAATGAAAGAAGAGACAAAGGGACATCGCTGCAAAACTAAACTCTGATAGGTGAATATTGTATTAAAATTGTGGTTCTGTGCAGGTTCAAAGGAGATGAAAAGATTGAGCAGCCGCTTTCTTATGAACATACGGTCACGCCCCAGAATGATCCTGACCAGAGCCAGTACATGTGCCAGGGCGTCCGCTCCGGAAGGCCGTCTTACACCAAACACAGCCAACCGTTGAAAACAACCAACCTGTGTATGTGTATGTTACAAATTCATTTGAGATCGTTCCCATGTAATATATTTGTTTTACTTTCTATAGTGTTGAAGAGGAGGGTCCTTCTGTCCATCTCTGGGTGTTTAGTGTTTGGACTTTTCACTGTTTTTCTTGGCTGCATTGTCTTGAGAGTTTTCCGCAAGCAAGGTTTCACTTCCTTAATGTCTAATTAACGTGGCAGAAAAGCACTCATTACAAAAAGACCCAATGTTTGCCAATTTCAGGTTAAGATGCTAAACTTGTTCATGGTAAGAGCGCAATATAAAAACACTGGGTTTTTTGTTTGAAATACAGTAAACTATTTATAATATCCATTAGCATAATTATCTTTGTGAAGAATATAGATTTTAGTCAATTTACATTTTTCTATAGAATCCAGCAGGGTGGTGGAATGTTCATGTTCTCTGACCGCATGTCTCAGTTTTGTTTGGTTTACGTCTAGTTGTTGACCAAGAGAAGCCAGAAGAGGTTGACCTATTTCTGACAACGGCAGAGCTATCAAAACGTATGTTGCCTTAACAGTACTTCATCGGTTTCTGGTTTTGGTAGCCATTTCCTGTTTTTTGCCAACCCAGCTTCACCAACTCCTCACTCATCATGTATTATAGAAAATGAAACCAAACACCTTTTCTTCTCACTAGTTCGTTCTGCTTTGTTCTCTTCCTTTGTCTGCAGACGCACCGAATCCTATGGCTGAGTATATTACCGATGAAGACCTAACAGGCATTGAAACAAGTATTGTATTTCCATTGCAATCATTTTATTTGTATACTACTTGTATATATAACTGTCCCATAAAAAAAAGAGTTATGTTATAGGACTAGATAGAAATTGTATAGAATTTGTATAAACATTTTCCTCTGACCGCAGAGGATGATGAAAATGGAACAGTGGATTGTGACACGACACTTTTACCGAGAGCATCCGAAGAGAATCAAGGTGACAGAAAAGTCAATCAATATCAGTATTTTTCAATATTTTTTTTGCATAGATTTAATGAATGTGCTCTTTTCAGCAACACCCTCTGAGAGCAACTGTGCAACTGGGAATAGTGAGATGGTTTCATTCAAGCATTGATTTATACTTAGTGGTTTGTCACAGTCAAAGCCTGTAAATATTTGTATGAATACATTATGACAGCCATTATGAGATGTTTAAAAAATACATATTTCCAGAATTTTTATTTTTTTTATTGAATATTATACGTATATTTTGTGTGTAGACGTATATTTTGTGTACCACTTACAGGATAATTACTGTGTTTGTGTGGTTCATTCACGGTATGTCCTACTCAAGCTTCTTCTGGTGGTACACGAATACTTAACTATTGGAGTCATTATATCATACATTTTGGATCTTCCTTTTGGTTAATCTCCTTCTAGAATTACAGTAGTGTTGAACCTGGTCATTCTTGGGCCAGAAAATCCTGTTATCAACTTGATTATTACAGGTGGTATTTGGAAGAAAAAATAAAATGTATATGAAATATAAGAATACAAGTATATTGGCAATAAATAATTATGTGAAAAGTTTGAGGACTTCTGGGTTAAGCCTAGTGTATACTCGCGCGCGCGGCACGGAGGTTACGTGACGTCACTAGCGCAAACCGTTGATCACCGCAAGGCACGTCGCCTGCCGCGCACCCTTGAAATTTTCTAACTACGCAAGGAAGTTCCGCTGTGATTGGTTCGTGTGTGAGTGTTTTGGGCGGAAGCATGAAGCGGCTGCACGAGCATGGACGAGGCACTTTGGAGAAGACTGCATTGTGCTTCGAAGAAACCGAAGGAAAAGCAGTTTGGGCTCATGACAGAGCCTGATATAAGCGGAGACTGTGGACTAGAGTTCTATATTGCATATCCAACATATATATATATATATATATATATATAACTTATAAACTGTGCAGTCGTTTGTTTTGCACTGTTCCTGTCTTTGTTTGAATCTGCACTCGTAGCTTATCGCGTCTGTTCCATTCCTCCTGCACTTGTAAATAGTTCATGTTTGTCTCAGATATTTACCACTTATTGTTTTGCTGTTTATGCTGAATACAATTTAATAATAACTGTTTCCAACAAGAACTGTCTTTATTCACAACATCACAGTTAAATGAGTTAAGAAATAATGAGTCCATAAAACTGTCACATAAACCTACAGTAGAAACACATGTAATGATCGCAAACAGCTCGGTTTGTTTGTTTTTGTTCTGAAGAGGAGAAAGAAGCAGCGTAAATGAGACCGCTTTAGTATCTCAAGCAACTCCTGTTAGATCGCCATCATGTGGTTGGTTGTGGGATTACATCATTCTCAAAACTCTAAAAATTGTGCTTGCGTAGGTCCAACGTAAACGGCAACCGCAAGCAGCGCCGCGGGAGTGTACACTAGGCTCTTGACAGTTTTTTTTACACTTCTCATGACAAACACCAGAAGTCAGCATATGAATTACAATCTTGTTTATTTTAGCCTACACGTTGTGATATCATGTATTTCAGACAAACATCTAATTAAAATGTGTGAAATATTTCTAATGTGCAGTTACTAAAAAGATTTATTTTTATACAAAATAAAACAAAAAGACTATTGCTGTGTCTGGCTGTTTCTCTCCGACAGACCTGTAAAATGTGAGGGTTACAAGTTAAAAATACTGAAACGATATTTGAATGATTCAAGACTCACATCTATTTAAGAATTTCTGCCAGTCTCTCGACATAATAGTTGTAGTTGTCTTGACAGTCGTCCCAAGGGGTGAAACTCTCCTCCTCCTTGTCCACATATGTGTCCCACACGAGCACAAAGTCGCTCGGCTTCATCATTCGTAGTTTGCAGCCTGCACTCGCCAGAGCCCTCAGTCCTTCCACGATCTCCGGCTGCTCCCACTCAAACAGGCGAGAGCAGAAGATGCACAGCTTCACCTTCTTCCGCTGCCCCAGGATAGAGGCCACTTTAGCAGCACAGTCTACACAGGGGCTGGACGACATGTACCACGTCACGTCATAGTCCTGGGAGGAACTAGGCAGTACCTGAATGGACAACGACAACAACGTGTATTTTAAACCATCTGATGATGTCAATAAAGCAATGTTCTGCAACCAGTGCTCCATAACCCTTTGAGCCATCGTTTGGAATGCCTTTGGAAATGATCCAATATCACATAATTGTAGAACTTTTTTCTTGATTGATTTTCTATTTGATAAGAATTGCTTTGGATTGGTAATTTTTGTATCGGTTTGCCACGGCTCAAAAAGGTCGGGGAAACACAACAATAAAATATAGTCAGGTAAACCCCATCAGAAGTTAAAAGCATAGTAGGCAGACAGAGGCCGAAGTTTAAGTTATTTTTTTGCCACGTTCCAAATGACAAGAATGCTATTAAACAAGGACTTGCAGCAAACAGCTGTTGTGGCTCATTACCTGCTGAAAGAAGGCCTCCTCTGCGTGTGCTGTGGCATGCTCATCCTCCATATATCCTTTAATCGGCTCTGTGCTGCCCCCTGCAGTGTCCACTCGGTAACACAGCAGGGTTTTGTTCCTTCCTGACGAATACTCCACATTTCTGAACTGAAACTTGAAATAGAATGGGCTCATCTGTTCTCTGGTGAAACGACAGGGATTACAGAGTATGAAGACATGCCTTCTTCTTTTCAATAATAGTCAATGTCTTCATTGAAAGTAAGACATCTCAATTTAGTAATAATTTCCTACCAGCATATTTTGAAATTTTGTCAATTAACTTTTTTGCCAATTAATTAAACAAAGTTTTACTCCAGCAGAATAAATAGCAATGAAGTCTTCCGTGTCCACAGCTGTTTAAAATGGACTTCCCAGTAAGTAAATAATCTCCAGACAAAGATATTCTAACATCCCAATGCATGCACTATAGATTATCCAGACTTTGTATGATATTGCTTTCCTTTCTCATACTTAATAATCAAAGTACAGAGTTGACACAGATGCTATGAAGCCGGTGAGTCAATCCTATTATTACAGTGAGGTTAAAGTCAGGCAGCTGGTGTGGACCACCGGAAGATTTAGCATCAACACATTGATTTGATCCACAAATACCATGGATAAACGGTCAAACTCATAGAACTGACGATTTGAATAATAATGTTACTTTGAAGACTCATTTCTAATAACTATGTATGTAAACTAACACATAGTTACATACTCCATTACAATTCAATACAATATAAAAATACCAACTTCTATTATAAATGAAAATGTGCCTACATTTTTGTACCACATTAGTTCATTTGGACATACTGGTAGCAGACATAAGTTAGTACTTACCCTTTGACGATCTCAAATGGAGGAAGTTCAATGGGCTGGAACTCTCCATTTCCTTCGGTGGCAGTCCCTGTTGCTCCTTCATCTGTGGCAGTCCTGCTCTCCTCACTTTTGCTTTGTTCTGGCATCTTCTCTGGTAATTTCTGTGATTTTTTCACAACTTTATCTGGCTTTTCTACATTTTTCTCCTTCGTTTTTTCCTTCTCTTCACACTTCTTGTCCTTCTTCTTGGCACCAATCCGACTTCTGTCAGCCATGACTGTCTGCAGGCCTGTGAGAGAGCTTCATAAAGAGAGGAACATGAAGAGACAGGGGCTGGGCAGTGGATAAGTGGGAGATAACCCCCAGTACACTGACAGAAATAGATGCTATTGTGAGCTATAAGTGGAGGCAAAACGGCAATCGCTGCCAGGCTCAACATGCCCTAGGAGTAGAAAAGGTCAACAATGCAGTTATTATTGCACACTTTTACAATATCTTGATCAAACTATGTTTAGCAATTCTATTAAGAAAACCAACTTTGGCTTTTAGATGTTTAAGCTTATGGAAAATGAGCAATCACTTCAGCATTTATCAGGGCTTTGCGAATGTCAACAAGACAGCAGCAGGCAAGTTATTATTACCAATGTTTGGTTCTGTGGAGAGGGTAACCAAGGATCTTATGATACTAAACACCGTTAGAGCATCAACTTACTTCACCACACCACTGCTTTAGTAACAGAATTGTTCTGTAATAACGAACCACTATCCAACTCTAAAAGTAACATTTTACTACTGTCACTCCATCTCTAGAAAGACCTAAAAACAGAACCCAATGACACAAGGCCACAACAGAGCATAAAGGCATGGCACCGTTAAGAAACGCAGAGCCACTATGTTTGACTGCAGAGGCTGTTACAGGCGCAGAATGGTTTTGTTATTAGAGTGTGTATTTGAGCGGCTGTGTGCACTGCTGCAATAACCACAGGCACAGAGGAGAAAAAGGGAGCCCAGTTCAATTACAATTTGCTCTCCTCCCTCAGCCGCACTCTGCCACGTAATTCATTTCTGAGGCAATTACCAATATAGCATTGTGGCCCAGCCCGATCCGCTAACTCAAATAGATGAGCTGTCACAGGCAGGAAATGGAGACTCAGTCAAACTGCACCAGATAAACAATATACAAAGAAAAGAAACACAAAGATGGACACTGGGTGAAATGCAAATACACTGATGAGTCAACACATCATGATAAGTCTTAGATAGGAACTATTTTAAATCAGTATTGAAACATTAACTGGATGTGCTAGTAAAATACTCAATATTGTGGCAGGGTACGTTCATACATAATGTTATGTCACCAAAACATTTTTGTTGAAAAAAATGAACAATGTTGTTTGACTTTTCTCTGGGAAATAGAATCAAACAATATTTCAATCTAAAAAAACAACAAGTATCGGACGTTTTTGAAAATTCCAGCCAACGAATCTCCTGCTTAAAAGATAAACAATAAATAACATGATCCTGAAGAGTTTTAAACCTCCAATATTCCATCTTGGCATCAAGAGGGGATTTACACTAAATTATTATATGCAACTATATTCCATTATCAAAAACAAATATGATGAAATGGAGACAAATAGTTTGCAACGGCATTTATATAGATAAAATAAATGTATATGCTACATGTTGCATCAATATCATTATTGTACTGAAGGACAGCAGATGGGAGTTGTGCAGTAGTCACGATAAGGTCCATGCACAGAAATTGAGGCTGGAGTGTATTTCAGAGGGCTTTTTCATAATGCTTCAAATAAAACAACACAGTTACACAGTTAGAAATGTAACATATTGTTGGTTGTTTTGAGAGCTTTCAAAATAGTCTAGAATGTTTTTAAAAGGTTTTTAAGAATGCATTTTGGAACTGCCATCTGAGATGAACAAAATAGCCTCCTACATTTAAAACAGTTTTACTTATGCCCATAGTAGCTTGTAATTAGCTTTGAGGTAGATTAGAGTTTCCAGGTACTTTGGTAAATCACAGGTTCTCTGACAGCATCGAGCTGCAGAGAATATACTCTCCACCACAGTGCCACAGGCCGGTATAGTGAACACCTTTTTAGCCATCTGTGCCAGTTGGGGAAAGTCAATAGATTTTCGTCTCCAGTAATGCAACGCATCTTCATCTGTGGGCTCCTCTCTGAGATATGCAACCAGCTCCTGCTCAAGGCTTTTTGCTTGAGTCATGGGTCTCTGCTTTATAAAAGAGAATAGCCTACATGGACGGGACAGAGGGGAGACCGGAGACAGGGCTGGGGCAGGAGGGGAAGGATAACCTGCCGGTATGTCTGTGGTGGAATCTGTAGGGTTAGTAGAGTTTGAAAGTTTGTTTATCTCCTCTAAGATGACCTGTCTGTGCCAGTCCTGGTTATTACTCCAAGTGAGTTTAAACTGAGGGTCCAGAGTCGTGGCAGTGATGTAGAGGGGGTCCTGGAGGAGAGGAGATAGTAGCTTGTCAACTGCCTGCCTCAGACCAACCAGGAGACCAGGACAATGGACTGCTGAGGTCTCCGAAAGGTGCTTGCACAGTCCTAAAACACATGGCATTGCCAAACTAATGGGCACATGTCGATCTGTCAGTGGGTCAGTCTGCCTTGGCCCGTGCACCATTTCCCAGGCTTCTGTGAAAGGTTCCAGGATGTCTATGAGCTCGCGCAAAAGCACCTTCTCTGACGTCCCCAAAGACAATTCACTGGGACCACTCAACTCTTCCAGGAAATCCACAGACTCTAGAAGCCGATGCAGCACCTATGATGTAAAATGAAAATGTGTTCATGTAATCATATATGCTTGCTTTCATACAGTATACAAAAAACAATCACTGCTTATGACTAACTGTATATGTGAATGAAGGATCAAGTAAGGATCAAGTAAATTGACTCCGAGTCAAGCAAAGTGCGTCAACAAAAACACGATAATTGTACAAAAATAAAGAAAATAAAAATTATTACATTCTGATCCTTAAATATTTTGAAATAAACAAAACATGAGACAGAGGGTAGTGCAACCAAAACCAATATTAGAGTAATAAGTTTAAAAAACAACTCACTTTCAGTTGCACAGCCCACTCGCTGAGTGCAGATGAGACGCTCCCTGAAGTCAGCCCTGTCGTATCAAAGACCTGGTTGAGCTTCTCTGCTGGAACTGCAGAGGTGATGTAGTGATAGAAAGAGGACGCCTTTCTCAAAGTGGGTGCAAGTTGTTGACATGAGCAAAGACCCTCCTTAACACATCTTTCCAGAGAACGAGAAAAGCAGTCCATACGGCGTACCCCAAGACCCTGCTCCAACGAGTCTTCCCATGCAAACTCCTCATTGTGTCCATTTGAGAAACTATCTTCTCTGTTGTGTATATTGTTTATCACTTCCCCCTCTAGCTTGATATCCAGAAGGGGCGATGTTAGGAAGCCTGGTAGAGAACATGGCCTTACAGGTGATGGAATAGCGTCAGACACAACTCGAAAGGCTCTTCCTGCCACGCTGTGAGAAAAGCACACTTCTTCAAAGTCAGATAGAATTTGACTGCATGAAGTAACATCAGTCAAAAGGAGACAAGCCAAAAGAGCTGAGCGCATCTGCCAGTCACATGTGAGGAAATGGCAGGTGATTCCAAAATACCTGGCAAGAAAGAGCAACGTCAAGTAAATATGCAGACAAATGAACAAACGCTTTTTTTACTCATAGAATGACCTCTTAACCTCCTTACCCTGATGCACTCGGAGTGCTGTCTTTGCAGATATCCAGGCTGAGACTCAGGGTGTGAGCTGAGGCCAGTGCCTGCCGTGTTGCTAGCTGGGCTTGATAGGCATAGGCTGGAAGGAGCTGGCTTTGGATGTAATGTTGTGAGTCGGGAGTGTAACGTGGCTCCAGAAGTTGCAGCAATGCTCGAAATCCTTCTTTTTCCACCATCGACACTGGCTGTAGATCTTGCACTATCATCTTGGCTACAGCCTCTGAAATGAGCACCTGTGTTGACCAAGCATTAAGCAATTAATACAATATCATAATTGCAATATAAATGACAAACTTCATGAAAAATCTGCTGGACTTTAAGACACACCTGGCGTGGGTCATGCTTGTCAAATTTAGTTAATCTTCCTCCAGAAGTTGCTCCCACCACTCCCACGGAGCCTGGTCTCCCAATCCCTCCAGCTGCTCCTCCCGCTGCTGCTCCAGTGATGATGGGGACAGTATAGCGGACATTGCCTGCGTTTGTAAAATTGTGCATCGAGCTAGAGGAGTACCCTTCCCTCTTCATATCTTTCCTTTTGACAAACTCTTCATACATGGTTGGGTGCTTACGCTGCAAGAGACAGAGAGAAAATTCTTGTGGACATGCATAATAAGGCCGCCATATAGTCTGCATGGAACAACAAAGCAAAAGGCTTAGCATGCCGAGGGCTACAAGAAACTGGATTGGCATTCTGAGGGTAGCAATACGGCCAGCTATTTAATTATTCAACCAGAAACACTTATGATAGTCAAAAGGCGTCGTGGTCTCACAATACAATCAGATCATTCTTGAGTTGCAGAGGATTACCTTTAGGTGTGTTACGAAGTTGGATGTGACGCTTCGTTTTGCTTGGATCCTTGTGCCACAATACTTGCAGTTTGACTCGATTTTTCCATTCTCTCCTTCAAACACAATGTTAAAGTAATCCAAAATAGACACCTTAGTAGCCGACGCCATTGGAGGAAAGAGTTCTTAAGAGCACAAAGTAAAATCAACATACAATCAAGGACAATGCCAAGCTTATGAGGCAGTCCTCGATCCTGGTCGTGAGCGCAGGCTACAACATTTACCCTGTTCAGCATCACAAACAGGCGCAGACGCACGGGACAAATAACAGCCAGTGTCCCGACATCAGAAAAGCCAGTTACAGACACAAGCTTGTGTGCGCATCCGCTGCCTCCGCGCCCCCATCCGCGCGTCCGAGGCACCCGTGAAGAGAGGGCATTACAAGCATGACAGGCGGAGAGAGGGGAGGGCTGTTTCCATCTTATCCTCTGATGAACGCTCCTGTGTGTGTGTCGTGTAGGCATTTCATGTAGGTTAAAGATCATAATGTCAGAGTTAAAAACATGACTGGGGGGATGTTATTCTCACGTTTATAAAGCTTTAATTGTAGGATCGACTGCTTCCAATGCTATACGTGGTAAGGCCGTTTCAGATTCCCTGATCATTTAAGATGTATTTCATATTCGTAGTCCAGAGCAAAACAGACAATTACAACACAAATAAATGTATGTAACCAGTGTTTCCACGGTGCAGAGGTATAGCAGACTGAACTATGCAAATACTGCCCGTCAACAATAGCACAGGATTAGTCAAAACGGATAGTTTAGTTTTAGTATATTAATTTATTCAGACAAGTCTGAAGTCTACAAAAACAGTTCATACACACAAGAATCCAAATTGTGTCTATTTCACGGACCGAAGGCTGTAAAATAGAATACAAAAACAGTCACTCTTTATTCCCATGCAAATCATAAAGACACGTGGATGGATCCAGCTAAGGGGATCTTTGTTCATGTACCCAGATCCTGTATGTTCTGTTATCAAATAAATAAACTCAGATTCCTTAGCCCAACACTGATCAGTCCGTCCCTTGGATTTGAAGTCTGTGCATGTCATTCCACAGTTCATATCTGGAGTGTTCAATAGCACTTTGAAGACTGGCTATATCCACTGATAACTCAATCACTGAAAAGTATAAAAAGAAAGAATATATTGTTAGGCAAACCGTGCTAATTAATTGATGATACAAAAAAACCTTACCTTGTTTAAATGATGATTGTGCATGTTTGAGTGACTGAGGCACCAAAATACCAAACCACTTTATTGGGTCTTGCTGGGGATTTGGGTCACATTTTTTCAAAATTTGATTTTCACTTTGCTGCACGTGTTCCTGGTGTTTATCAGTATTCTCCATCTTCCGATTTCTTCTTCGAACACCTATTATATTGATGAAAGAGCACAATCATATAAAGGTTCACTTACTTTTGTATAGCCCTAATTCACAACAGCAGTTGTCTCAGAGGACTAATGATATTAAAATATTAAGTAAAACCAACTTGTCTCTTGCGGCCCAACATCTTCCACAGGCTTCGTATCACAATTAGACTTTTGAGTGACCTTGTTGGTGGAGAATTTCACATCACCATTCTCTAATGATCTGTAAAATATACAATACAGACTAAGTATTATTTTAATTTTAAGCCATACTCATTTTCTTCTGCGAAGTTCAAGCCATGCACAGTTTGATTCTACCCAAGGATTATTTGTACAATAATAAATGCGTTCATGTCCTGTACTTACTGGGTATGAACACAGATACGTGGCTCAATTTCACTTGCATACTGCAGCGATGATACTTGTTTGTTTCCCATTGAATATCGCGCCTTGGACATGGAGAACCATCCCTTTGAACGGAAAACAATATTCATTTAATATCTAGAAGGAACATTTTTTGTTATTTTCTTATCTTACTTCCTCTATCAGCGCATTGAGGGACGCTCGTTTTTCTTCGAGGAGCTCAAGTTGATCCATAAAATGCATCAGCTTCTCGTCTAAGTCACAAGAAGATGGTTCCATTTCAGACAGACCCCTCTTGGCTTAAAAAAAACTGTGGAATACAGTTTAAGCTACGAAACTCGGAATATACAATACTCTTGTCGTATTGATCTACAACTTCCGGGTAATGTCACATGACACACATACCACGTGATCTTCCATCGCAGGCATGGACCAGCTAAAACTGTAAATAAATTACAGTCGATAATGTTTTCCGTCATTTTTACTTTTTTGATTAAACATATTGCAAAAACGTGAGAAAATCGTGCACAAGTTGAGAAAAACTTTAGTTCCCATACCGGGAGTCGAACCCGGGCCGCCTGGGTGAAAACCAGGAATCCTAACCGCTAGACCATATGGGACCCTATTCAACGATGTAATGTATTTGAACTTATTGAATACACATTCCTAGTTTTTGCAACGAGTTACTACTAACCCTGACCCTTTAAAAAAAATACTTATTAGTATTAGTAAGTTAGGTACCCCATGTTGGTTTGGTACTGACACCTGCAGACTGAGTCCTGGACGACGCTTTAAAGGTCAACCCAAAGCCAGGCACTGATGTTAAAGGAGATGGGACCCTCGGGCGCACCTGATAGGAAACACCAACGAGGTTGTCGACAACAACAGACATCCTACAATGTCCACATAAACATACTTTTTTTCCCCATGGATTCTGCTACATGTTGAAGCGAATGTGATTATTAATATTTACAGTCTTATAGATTATCTCTGAAACCATTTGAAACAGACATGTTGGTAGTTTCATAATACGTTGGAAGAGCAGTGCGCACATGGCTCCCAGTAGCTCGCCGTGATCGTATAGTGGTTAGTACTCTGCGTTGTGGCCGCAGCAACCCCGGTTCGAATCCGGGTCACGGCAGGGATAATACCCTGACACGGCTTGGGAGTACCTTTTTCTTCGTTGGAGTTCCGCTGTATGCCAAACACATAAAGTTGTCAAGACACATATATTGGCAACCTGTCTACATGTGCAATTTGATTTTCAGAAAACAATGCTATAGTATACAGTAGCATACGGGACTTTACAGAGGAGGGTTTACAGTTGGTAGTATGTGGACAGGGCGTTCGTTGCTAAAATGTTTCATTGGTAGCTCTTGAAAACGACTCTTGTGTTCCGAGTTAGAGAGCCAATCAGTGCAGGCAGTCATCATCACGTGTGTTGTTAGCTCACTCTCAGAACGCACTACTATTGGAGGTTGATCCTTAAAAGAACCGCCTCCGTGGACTTGGTCATGCAGTATTGAAGTTTGTACAGCTAATCTGTTTCTTTCCTTTGGATAAAACCCCAGGTAAGAACCTATAGATAAATCTTGATACTACTAAGTCACTTAATGTGCTTATTATTAATTCATATATGCTGTTCTGCACATAAACTTCAAAGCCATAATTATGCAGTATTTTCATATAGTTATGTGCCTTGTTTTAAAAAATATATATATTATTGAACATATATTGAAACAGTAATATTTCTAATTATGATTACCTTTTTTACTAGGAAATGGATACTCTCCATCCGTACTGGCCACGGGATCTTGTGATTCCTGCCTATGTTGCCAATGATCGATCTATGTCAGAGATCCTGGCCTTTTTATTTTCAGTGTCTGGTGTGTTCTTACTGGTCACTTGGATAGTCAGTGGTCAGAAAAGATCTGGTGGACACTTAGGGACTTGGAGGCGCTTGGCTGTCTGCTGGTTTGCTGTTTGCGGCTTTATCCATGGCGTTATTGAAGGATGGTTTTCTTTGTATTATGATATTATTCCTGGGGATCAACGATTCCTGTCCCAGTTATGTGAGTTTTTGAATATTTGCAAGGATTTCTATTGTTCACACTAATTTTTATTTTTCATAGGGAAAGAGTACTCCAAAGGTGATAGTCGATATGTTATGTATGTTTCCCCTCTTAAAATAATGAAACAGTAAAATGATAAGTTATTGATTTGTTCCATGTTATTTGTTGAATTAGAGCCGATAACTTCACTGTATGTATGGAGACTGTAACAGCTTGGATTTGGGGACCTTTCAGCTTTTGGGCAGTATATGCCATTTTAAGCAACAAGCCCTACAGATTTGTATTGCAACTCATCATTTCATTAGGTAAGAATCCAAGCGGGTAAGTCCTGTACAAAGCCATGTCAACTAATATCTGATTTTCTGCTATGTCTGATTACAGGTCAGCTGTATGGAGCAGTGTTATACTTCTATACTGAGCACAGAGATAGATATGCCCACAGTGAGCTGGGGCATCCTGTCTACTTCTGGTTTTATTTTGTCTTCATGAACGCACTATGGATCATCATACCTCTGTCTCTCATTGTGGATTCATGGAAACAATTGACTGCTGCTCAAACTGCCACAGATTATAACAAATCCCTGAAATACAAAATGAAATAAAAAATATAAATATTACAAAACAGAAACAGGGAATGCATGCAATTTTGTAAACAGTTATGCTTTGTGTAACCCAATGCAAAATTCTAAATTTGTTATAATAAAACCTTTTGAAAAAGTCAGACTCAATCGGATCAGAGATTTTTTTAAACACTCAGTTTAACTTTTAATAATTAATAATACTGTAAACTGTACTCATAACATTTTAAAGACAAAATATGGAATTTTAGATTAAATTCATTCAACTATAACAATATGGAATTTAGATTACATTTATACAATGATAACATAGTTAAATGTACCAAAAATTATACTTTGAAAGTTGTAGCGTATATTTCATATTGTTTGTCATTTGGCCTACATATCGTGGAAGACCACGCATTGAAGGAGTTAAGCATCATCAGTTTTAGTTAGTAGTGCATTCTAGGTGGCAAGTCAGAAATCAATGGGCAGTATTTTGACGTTATTCTACAAAATAATATGTGAGAATATTACATGGATCTATTACGGGATATTATGATACATCCACATGTCCAGCTCTTTACATGTCTAGATCTATTGATCCATGGTCTAGATCAGCCATTCCCAAACTCAGTAACACCGAGGCCCCCTTAAAAATCTGACGGGTCTGCGTGGCCCCCCCAAAATAATAACCAAGAAGACAACATTAAGAATAGGCTCTTCTGGTTATTTTATTTTGGGGAAATAGCCTCTGCTACAAACATTGTAATACAAAAATTATTACAGTGGATTATTCAAGTCAAATAATGAACACAAATATTTTAATATTACAAACAAAACATTCTAAATTTAACATTAAATAATTATATATATATATATATTTTTTTTTATGACCTCCCGCGGCCCCCCTGCAGTACCCTCGCGGCCCACCAGGGGGCCGCGGACCCCACTTTGGGAGACACTGGTCTAGATGCATGGTCTATGCATGAAGCTACTGTGCGTGATGGCTACATGCTAGCAGCGTAACGCTAGCATATTGACATTAGCATTTGATCGTCTAATTCCGATGTTCTTGTAAATATATGCACCGTCGTTATCATCTTACGTTTATTTATATATTATGAATACGTACGTTTAATGCTTTCCGCTTATGTTGAAATCACCAGAGTTATTATGTAGTTACATAAAGTTATTATAATAGATCTATGTTACACACACCAAAGGCACGCCCGCTTTCCTTGTTGGGATGAAAAGACCGTAAACTACAAATTCAATCCGCTTTAAGTTTTAAACATTTAACAAGATATCTAAAGCTAACTGGAAGGGTTGAACAGCCGAAATAGCTCAGTTGGGAGAGCGTTAGACTGAAGATCTAAAGGTCCCTGGTTCGATCCCGGGTTTCGGCATTTTGCTCAAGGGTTGTCTTTTTCAATGTTCCTGAACGCACCACCGTCACATGAAAGAAAATCCCAACGTCCGTGGGTAAAGGATGCCATCGGGCGGCAAATATCTAGATCCATGGCAAATATACGACATGCATTTTGAACAAACATTTTCAACTGATTTGTAGGAAAAATCAATTGATTGACGCCAACCCAGTATAGCATGAAACAGAATATGAATCATCTCCAGTCAAATATGTTTCCCATTACAATAAAAATACTGTTGATGTATCCATGTAATATGGGCGTATTTATACAGCCCTTCTCCACCTTTCAAGATACTTTACATTTTATTCTGACAGACATTCTGTCAGAGGACACATTACCAACAGTTACTACCATCATATATTTGATTCTCATTATGGAGAACCATGAGAACAAAAATGAAAATAAATACTTTTTTGTGGAGGAAAGTGCACATGAAAAACTTAAACAAAACATGTTCTTTATTTTTGTACATGACATGCACAAAGAACAATAGTGTGTCATTCAATATTTACAAAATGAAGTATTCAGCCGAACATTTTACTTAGTCTCTGGGCCAGCTCTTTATTAGACTCTTTTTCCTTAATTGCAACATCTTTGAGCGCCTTCACAGCAGCAGATGAGTCCGGCTGTATCTTCAGAAGTTTCTTAAATGCCCGTTTTGCTTCTTCAAGTTCATTAAGCATCTGGCAGGCTTGTCCCAGTCTGTACCAGGCCTTTGCTCCACCAGGATCCAGTTCAGTGGCTTTAGTTGCACTTGCCTTAGCCTGTTCCGGTTGTTTCAACTTGAGCTGACATAAAGACAGGTTTGAATGCAGCTCTGCTTTGAAAGTTGTGTACTCTTTGGCAGAAGGAACCAGACTTTCTGATGACTCCTCTGATACAGGCTCCAATGTTTTTTCTCTTCGAGTCTGTCCATAAAGAGTTATGAGAAGTTTTAAGGCTCGGCTGTAGCTGTCCGCAGCACACCAAACATCTCCATTCTTGAACAAATGTGTGCCTTTTTGCTTGAGAGATTTTACCCAGCAAAATTTTTCCTCTAAAGATAATTCCCAGGATTCTTTGCCCGGTGTAAATTCTCCAAGCTCAACAGTGGCGTTAAACGGCTGGTCTGAATCTGCTTTAACATCTGGCCCAGTACCTAGTGGAAAAAGTTGTATCTGAGAAAAAGGAAAAGAATATGTATTCAAGTTACAGAAGACATGTTTGTTCTAAAAAGGCAAATGTTGCATTGTGATGGTTAATTACCTCCCATTTGTCTCCACAGCTCATGCAGTCCAAACATGCCTCTGTGATGTCACACTGACCCTCTCCCATCGTCACCGTGGTCCATTCACCGAGTGGAAGCTGCAGCACAGTGCTCGGGCACTGCGTGAAGGCACCATCCTCGGAGTGTGTGTCGGCTCTGGACTCTGCTTGGACTCGCACTTGACATATGGAACCCATTCGAGGACATTGATGCCTTCCTAAATAATGCAGTAAGACAAACATTTGTCACACAATAGGAGCAGGGAGACTCAAATAATGTCTTATTATACCTGCATCATTATTGGTAGCGTTTTTGTGGATTTGTCTTAGTTGTACTCTCCAAAGACCCCTAGGACAAATGGAGACCCATGAACAGACATTGCTGTTGGAGCTATGGGGCATTTTTTGGTTGGCGTCCATCACTGTGATAAGAATAGATCCACAAATACCAATATTAAAACATTGTAGAAAACGCCACCACAATTAGCTCTAAAATTCTATTACAAGCTGCTTTTTTTTTGTTTTTTTAGAACCAACATTCCCAGTAGCACCAAATTGGGTTTAGCCAAAAAAATGAAATTTAAAGCACATTTAAAGAATGTAGTTAAAGTTTACTAAATAGAATTATCTCTAACACAGTTTGGTTCTATCATCAGTTTTCACATGCATACATTTTTGGCTTGTTACATCTTTAGATCAGCTATTTCGGTCATAAAAGTTAAAAAGAGAGGACCACCCTCAATCAACTTTCAGCCCAAAGTGTCAACTTGTAGGAAAGGACTCTTTCTTACAAGGTATGCACCAAAAACAACCAGACTCCTTCTGTTGGGACAAACAACAAGGACTAGTTTTATTTATGGGAAAAAAGGTCTAACCCTTGATCTTAAAGGAAAAACATTTTACAACTTGTGAGAGGGATTGGGACTACGGTCCAACCCCTGTTCAAACTGTTTGGTTCCTTTGTATTTTTGTATCCCGTTTATTATTGGTTGACTTTTGTGCATACGTTTGAAATGTAGTAGTCGTTTCTTTACTAAAGGAGGCTTTACATTTGGAGGATGGAGCCAAATGCAACCCCTTCCATTTCATTACATTACATTTGAAGGAGAGGGCATACATTTGGGAGACTGTGGCGTAGTAGTAGTAGCACTAGTAGTTGTAGTAGCACTAGTAGTAGTAGTAGTAGCACTAGTAGTAGTAGTAGTAGCACTACAGTAGCAGTTGTAGTAGTAGTAGTAGTAGTAGTAGCACTAGTAGTTGTAGTAGCACTAGTAGTAGTAGTAGTAGCACTAGTAGTAGTAGTAGTAGCACTACAGTAGCAGTTGTAGTAGTAGTAGTAGTAGTAGTAGCACTAGTAGTTGTAGTAGCAGTAGTAGCACTAGTAGTTGTAGTAGCAGTAGTAGCACTAGTAGTTGTAGTAGCAGTAGTAGCACTAGTAGTAGTAGTAGTAGTAGTAGTAGTAGCACTAGCAGTAGTAGTAGCACTAGCAGTAGCAGTAGTAGTAGCACTAGTAGTAGTATTAGTAGCACTAGCAGTTGTAGTAGTAGCAAATGTATGCCCTCTTTAGATGATATTTTTTTATCTTTATTTTGATCTATCCTTAAATGTAATACCAGTTTTATTGATTTAATGACTAGGACTAAACGCTGCTATTGTATCATATGTGCACGATTAAAATGTAACATGTGAGCTCACCTCATGGAAAGAAGCTCCGCCTGTCTGAGCAAAAGTCATGGATTCGATTAAATGTAGGTCATTTTCATTCAAACGCCAAACACCTTATTTTTATAGATCCATGCAAACACCATAGACAGTAAATATTAACACACCATGCTGCACTCATTTCCTGTTTATTTTCCTTCTGCAGTCACGCTGAGATCCAAATGCTCTACTGCCCTCTTGTGGCCCAGTGGAGCTGAGTCTTCTACTGTTTTATTATAGTATCTCATGGGGAAATATGTCGGCAGGACCTAAAACATAATCGTTCATGGCAAAGTCCTAATCTCTTGCCATCCAGTCGTATGTTCTTATCCTTCTTTGTCATCCATTTAAGCTGGAGGACCTAATCTATGTAATACAATCTTGACGTGTAGTGTTGATGGAAGAATCAGCAGATGGCGGCAAAGATCTGGAATGACAAAGCGGTGTGCTCAAATTCAGGGTAACATTACAGATCGTTCTCATGTATTTTGAGAGTAAGTGCAAAAACTATGCAACACTACATGTCTCATGAGGCGTTTCTCAGACGGTGATAATTCTGTTTTTAGAGATTTAGAGAGTCGTTACATCATTGATCATGCTTTAATACATCAGAGAACCTACATTTTAATTCTCATATGTAATACATTTTGTTTGTCTCAACAGTTTTCATTCAATGTACAAGCCAGTCCACAACATGCTGTATTTATCTGATTTGAAAACATTTTATCTTTGGCCAACTTGATGAAAAAGCCTTCAGAAGTAGCCTTTCACTTTCCAGTCTGAAAAAGCTGATCCAAAGATTTGACAAAGGCCAAAAATACATGCATGTGAAAACTGTATCTTGTTAGATTGATTTGATTAAATTAATTTTAATGAAATGTCATGCTCATATTAAAGTTTGACCTGGACTATGGATTTTTGTGAGGTTATGTATTTATTTTAGTCTTAGCTGAATATGCTGAGTTCAGAGAGTCCGTGGAGCAGGACTAACGGTTGGCCTCGAAGAGATTCCGGCAAATTGTCTGGCGCCTCAGGAGGGGGAAGCAGTGCTTTGCCAACACTGTTTGCAGTGCGGGTGGAGAGCCGCTGACCTAAACTGGGGATATCGTTGGGGGGTGGAAGAAACACTTTGATGTTCTCCTCAATACTCTGTCACGTTCTCAGAATCGGAGACAGAGGCTGAAGATCTGGCATGGGACGGATACATCCATCTCCATTGCTGAAGTCACTTGCAGTTGTTGGCAGCCTCCCCGATGGCAAGGCACTGGGTGTGGACATGATCCGTACTGACTATGGATGTGGTAGGACCGTCTTGGCTGACACGTTTCTGTAACACCGCATGGCAATCGGGGACAATACCTATGGTGTTGGATCACACTCCTCAGCCTCTCAGTAAGGTATACTCATGGTACTCGAGAGGAGACTTCGAACCAAAATAAGATAAAATATCGTATTCAGGAGGAACAACATCAAAATCAAATCAAATTACCAGCAGTAAGTCAGACCTGTTCCAGGTGCATCAGGGGAGGAGACCACAGGATTTCATCTCTGCTGTTTGCAGGCAATGTTTTCCTCTGGGGTCCAACAAACCAGGACCTGCAACATGCACTGGAACAGTTTGCAGCTGAGTGTGAGGCGGCTGGGATGGAAGACAAGCTCCTCCAAATCCGAGGACATGGTGCTTGACCAGAAAAAGGTGCCTTGCGGCTTTCCATCTCCAGGTGGACTTTCCTCAAGTGGAGGAGTTCAATTATCTTGAGGTCTTGTTCACGAGTAAGGGAAGGATGGAGCCTGAGATTGACAGGCGGATTGGTGCAGGGTGTGCTCTTGATTTACTGGTCGATCTACGTTTCTACCCTTACCTATGGTCTTGAGCTTTGGGTAATGACCAAAAGGATAGAGAGGAGCCTATATGTGTGCCTCAGACCGGACATCTGTTTCTGATATCTCCTTGCCTATATATATATTTGTACATAGATATATCTTCTATCCATCCATCCATCTTCTTCCCTTGAATCCATTCAGGTCGGAGGGGTAGCTGTCAGAGCGGCACCCAATTCACAGAGCACCAGCCCCTCACTTATCCTCCTGCAGGTGGTGAGTCCACAGGAGGATGGCTTCACTGTCAGTGACGACACAGCCTTGATCTTTCAGCGAGGGATTCAGGCAAAGTGGGGTTAAGTGTCTTGCCCAAGGACACAATGACAGCAGACATTTTTGAAAACAAATCAATTAACAAAAGTGCGTTTTACATAACCAAAGCATTGACTGCATGTCGTGTACAAGGGCGTAGGTTTGCGTGGGGACCATGGGGACATGTCCCCACCAATATTTGGTGAGGACTAAAAAGTCCCCACCAAAATGACATGATGTCCCGTGACCCGGACGGTCCGGGACACATGTCTTCCGTTTGTGCATACGTCGCGCCTCCTCCTCGCCTCCAGAGCAACAGCAGCAGCAGCAGCACGTGACCCGTTCCGTTCTCTGCAGTGATTGGCTGTCTTCTTCAGCGCCAAACTGAAGCACTGAGCGACTGTTTAATTTTTAAAACTTAGCCAGCGTGAAGCAAGTGTTTTTTTTCGTTCCCTGAGCGTTGTAGCACGTGAGTAATCAGAGGAAAGTACTGTAGATCTATTACCATTCAAAGTACTTACGTTATTTCTAATCTGTCAGCGCACTGTTTAATGTTCCGAGGAGCTCACACGGCACAGAGACAGAACAGAACTGGCTCCAATAAAGAAACAGGTTGGTTGAAAGGCTGAAAAAATACTTATTGTGCTCTTACTATCCAAAATGTATAAGTGGGTGTGTTGTGTGAATCAGGATAAACTAGGGATGAAAATATTCCACGGATCCACGATTTACAACCTTTATCTGCTGATAATGTAATTTCTGTGAAATGTGTGACAGCGGGCACTTGCTGCTATTTGCTCCAAGCACATTCATGCGATGCACTCGAATGTGCACGTCCTGGTGCAGCTGCTGCCGCTTTGTAATGACAGCCGCGGCGCTCAGTGAAAGCACAGCTCTAACATGGTACCGAGCTCGGACCATATGCAGACAGAACCATGTTGCAAGTGCGGGTCTCCCTCGTATCTCCCCCGTTTCTCCCCTGTGTCTCTGACATGTCTCTCCCCTGACTCTTCCCAAAGCGCAACCAGCGCTCCCGAAATTAATGCTCGGATACGTAAATTTTCCATTGCGTTAACGATGCATGCTGGTTGTGCGCAAAACACACCACAACAGGTCATTTAAGTTTTTATTTTGCATACTTGAGAGCCATGTGAGTCATTACTTGCCATTTTGGGTTGAGAGTGGAATAAAAAAAAGAAAATATAGAAAAATCCACACTGTTACTTATTGCCAAACTCTTGTTAACTCATTGTATTAAGAAATACTATGTAACTTTTGACATTGGCCAAGTTATATAAATGATTCTGCAGTTCATGTATATGAATGTCTGTTTTTGATTGTCTATACCTTCTTATATAATTTAGAAAAAATGCCACCTCCACAAAAAAAGATAAAAGATATCAGGAGCTTTTTTAACAGTTGGAAAGTAAGTAAGAGAAAGCACAAGTAATAGCAAATTATGAATTGTGATGATTAATCTTCTGTTAACATACATAGGAAACTCAACCAACAAAAGAGAACAATATAGGGAATGTTGAGGTAGAAGCAACAGGCCCTTCAGTGCATCAGGCGAGGTTGGAATTTTGTAGGTATGCATGGGACTATGAATTGTTTTTAGAGATTGATCGTATATGTCAAACAATGTAGTGAGCTACTCACTGTAGATTCTAATTCAATATTTTCTCCTCTGTTTTTATTTATTATAGGAAATTGAAAGATCAGAGCATGATTTATTTCAAGTATCGAGAGCAGTTCCTGAACTGTTAGAGCCTCAGGTGAGGGCTATTATGTAGATTTGGATTAGGTTTAAGTCAGTATAGAATGAACGCAACACAAAACTCAGAAGCTCTGATCCAATTGATTTTGTTTTAACTATTAGAAACAATCATTAACTGCTTCTCATTCAGTCTACAGCTGAGTTTAGTATAGAAGGCAACACACTATTGCAAATATAGTGTGTGATTACACAACAAATTCTGGGGGAGAAACTCTGGACCCCGTGTCAATGGGTGTAGACTCAGGTCGTAGTGAATGTCCGCACCAAGATTGGAACCAAACCTACACCATTGGTCGTGTATATATGTATACTTTAGTAAGTAAGTGCGTAAGTAGTAGGTAATCTTTATTTATATACAGTAGCTTATTTTTACAGACCATGGTCAACCAAAGCACTTTAGAAGTTTTTAGGAACACCCAGAGGAACAATGCAGACCTGGGGAGAACAGAAAAGCGTGGAGATGGAATCTAAACCAGGACCCTCTTGCCGTGCAACACAAGCTTTTACCACTGAGCTAGCAAAGTTTAATTTAAATGTAACAAGAGCAGAGAATTTTAACATTTCATTTAAGGTCTTGTTACTAATGAGCATAGGTCAATCGACAAGCAGCTCAAGAACAAAACATAGTAGACAATACAAAATCGGTCAAGAAGATATACAAAAAAATATAAAATGTATTGAATACAATTCCGGGATTGGTGTGAAGGTATACAGTACATCACCGTTAAAGTTTTTGAGTCGTTGACTTATTATCATGATGTTAGGAGTGTATAATGCAGTGGCTCTGGAGCCAGTTAACATTTACAATATCTATGGACATTTGTTAACATTTATGGACATTGGTCATCTGCACCTTATGGACCAATGGCTGTGTGTGTGTGTGTGTGTGTGTGTGGGTGTGTGTTCCGGTAATCATCACGTTGTGGGGACTGAAATCTGTTTACACAGTCACGCCATGGGGACCTGTTTCCTTATGGGGACCAAAAACTAGGTCCCCATAAGGAAAACCATTGAGATGAATGGGGGAACTGTTTAGAAGGTGCTGGGCAAAGTTTCAGAGATGGCCCATAAGTGATGTTTAATGTGTGT